TTTAGCTTAATGGCCCCGCACTGACTCTGTTGTTCAAATGTCAAAAAAATTCAGACAGTCAGGTCTTGCTATCTTTCTTTTTCTCGAAGACCCTATACAACAAAACCATGGTATAATTGTGAAAATTATACCATAGATATCTATGGTATAAATTTCGGTTATTAAGATTTATACTCGGGTTGCATTCCCATAGGTTCCATTGCACAGCTATAAGTTAATATATAAATAACACATATCTGAAAGGGTGATAGAGCAGATTGTTACCCCGAGAAAACATTGTCAACTGAGGCGAAGCCAAGGTTGACAATGTCTTTTCGAGGGGTAGCAATCTGCTTTATCACCCTCTCAGATATGTGTTATTTAATTTATTATACTGGATGTTCTGTTATTACTGTCTATTAAATTTCAAATTCAAAGTAATAAACTATGTCGTCTGGTACATAACAATCATCCGTAGTTATTTAAGAGCACACTTGATCAAGCGTCTCCGTGATGGGTAATAGAGTATTTGCCATGGGATAGTATATAAATAACACAAAGCTGAGAGGGTGATAGAGCAGATTGTTACCCCGAGAAAACATTGTCAGCTGAGGCGAAGCCAAGGTTGATAATGTCTTTTCGAGGGGTAGCAATCTGCTCTATCACCCTCTCAGATATGTGTTATTTAATTTATTATACTGAATGTTCTGTTATTACTGTCGATTAAATTTCAAATTCAAAGTAATAAACTATGATGTCTTGTACATAACAACCATCTGTATTTGATAAAGCGCACACTTGATCAAGCGTCTCCGTGATGGGTAATAGAGTATTTGCCATGGGATAGTATATAAATAACACAAAGCTGAGAGGGTGATAGAGCAGATTGTTACCCCGAGAAAACATTGTTAGCTGAGGCGAAGCCAAGGTTGACAATGTCTTTTCGAGGGGTAACAATCTGCTCTATCATCCTCTCAGATATGTGTTATTTAATTTATTTTACTGAATGTTCTGTTATTACTGTCGATTAAATTTCAAATTCAAAGTAATAAACTATGCATGATGTCTTGTACATAACAACCATCCGTATTTAATAAAGCGCACACTTGATCAAGCGTCTCCGTGAAGGGTAATAGAGTATTTGCCATAGGATAGAGTCGTATTTAATAAAGCGCACACTTGATCAAGCGTCTCCGTGAAGGGTAATAGAGTATTTACCATAGAATAGAGTAAATTAATATTGCATTTTTACGCGATGTATAATAAGTAAATTGTCTCCCTCGTATTAACCAATCAAAATCTGGTATAATAAAAATCGTATTACCTTTTATTATATTCACCAGAATGAAAATAAGTATTGCTAAAAGATTAATGGGAATACAAGTGATAATACCACAAGCGAAACAACGATCAAAGTCACACAGTAGGGGCAAACATTTTCCTGGACGAAGGAAATTAGCTGAAAGCCGACAAATATCTAGTTTCAAATATCGTTTTAGATTTTTAATAACTAGAGCGCTTTAAATTTAACTAAAGGTATTAAATATACAATAGAAAGTCAATGTCTGAAAAACATCAACTTTTTTGTATATTTGTAAGGGCGATGTTTACCGACTCTTCAACATTACTGTTTCGTGCCGAATACAAAATAAATATTGTTTCTGACATTGACATTATATCTTTTTTATATTGCAGCTGAAAATTGCTTCACTTATAGTAAAAAAATGTTAACACAAATTTTTATATTGCAGCTGAAAATTGCTTCACTTATAGTAAAAAAATGTTAACACAATGATAAAGCGTATTTTCCATCCTTAAACGAACCCGAACTGTTATTAAAATTGACGTGACGTGAAATCGGCATAGCACGAAATATCACTTTGTTTCTTTATTTGGTAAATAAAGACAACAGAAAGTGTTCTAGCTGCAGAAGAGAAATATACAATATTATATATAAAATATCAAATTTTCTGTATGAGGTTTAGAAACAGGGGATGGGCGAGGTTTACTGAGCCCTTCAACTGTTTCGTGCCGAATACTTAAAAGACTATATATTTTTCTGACATTGACCTTATATTGTTTTTATGCTGCAGCTTAAAATGGCTAGAGTAAGTAATGAACATGTTAACACAAGAATAAAACGTATTATTTACAGAGGCGGATTTAGAGGGTTTTTTAGGGGGCCCGGGCCCCCCCCCCCCTTTTTTTGGGAAAAATTTTGTTGATTATATAGGGAATCACTGAAGCATGACTGGAGCGAGCCCCCTCTTAGGCAGTCAGTGGGCTCCCACTTGTGAAAAATTCTGGATCCGCCACTGATTTATACATAAACGAACCACAAATTGAGAAGAAAAGTTACGTGATATGAAATCGACATTGCACAAAATATCACTGGTAGATAAAGACAACAAGAAAGTTTCAAGCTGCAATATAAATATAATATAAAAAAGAAGATGTGGTATGATTGCCGATGAGACAACTCGTCACAAGAGACCAATGACACAGAAACTTACAACTTTATGTCACCGTACGGCCTTCAACAATGAACAAAGCTCATACCGCATAGTCAGCTATAAAAGGCCCCGAAATGACAAATGTAAACAATTCAATCTTAAAAAAACTAAAGGCCTAATTTATGTACAATATAATGAAAGAAAAACAAATATGGAACAAAGCAACAAACGACCATCACTGAATAACAGGCTCCTGACTTGGGACAGACACATTCAGCCCTCCCCCTAACCCGGGACAGTGGTGTAACAGAACACCATAAGTTAAAGATCAAACTATAAAAATCAGTTGAAAAAGGCTTAACTCATCAGATGGTGACAAATAGAAATACATCTAACAAAAACACAGAGTGGACGTGGCCGGGTACGTGTACATCCAAACAACAAAAAGACACTCAGTACAGATCTGAGAGTACTCGCAGTTACTGAAAGCTAGTTCAAAGCCAATAACATCTAATAAAAAAATCATGCATCTAAGACTAAATAAGTCCATAAGAAAGAAATGTATATTGTAAATACATTCTTAGCAAAAATCTATCGCAAAACTATCGTGACCACTCTATTTCTTTTAAATTAAAAATTGAATGCTTCTTTTTGTAAATTTATTGGGATGTAAAAGCGTTGACCGAAGTACATTTTGTATGAAGCGCGGAAACGCTTCATTCTAAAAATGTGCGCACGGTCAACGCTTTTACAACCCTATAAAATTACAAAGAGAAGCATTTTTTCAAGTTTTTCCTTTATTTACATGTGCACTTTATATTGTGGAAGCTCTTGTCGTCAAGACTGTTACATTTCATTTTGAAAAATGAAGGTTAATTTCAGAATGATGCGAGATTGCTGTTAGCCAATCAAAATAACGTCTTAAAATGAAACATACATGTAATGTAATTATTCAGTAAAATTCGAATTATGCCGTCGGTTTTACTTGTTCAAGCATTGCCAAGTAGTTGTTAAAGATTTGAAAAAGTGCTATAAAAAGCACTCAATATATAATTAAAAGAATATAGATTGAAGAAATCTCCATTTCTGGGCTCGCTAACCAATATTTTTTCGAGATTGATTTTAGGTGATTTATCTGTTGATAAAAAATGGACAAAGGAAATTGTTTTAAATTTTGTACTCTTAGTGTTTTTTCTATAAGTTTTTATCATTGATTGAAGGCATACGGTATCTGACAGTGATTGGATTTCATATCATAAACCTTTGGTTTTGTGTGAATAGTTTTCTTGTTGGACATACTACCACGTCTCCTAATTATATTTACATTGGGTACGAGCATTTGAAAGCTCTTATTTGTTTATACGTTTTATTTTGTTGGTGCCACGACCAGGTTTTCTATTATAACTGTTGGTGCTTTTGAGTACGTAATATAAAAAAAGGAGGTGTGATATGACTGCCAATGAGACAACTATCCACCAAAGTTCAAATGAGTCGATGTAAGCAAATATAGCTCACCGCCTTAAACAATGATAAAAATTGATAATATATAGTCGGCTATAAATGGCCCCGACACGAAAACATGTGAAACAATTCTCACGAGAAAACTTACAGCCTAATATATAACAAAGCAATTTAAGAAAAAAACAAATATGACAGACATGAACCAACGACAACTACTGAACTACAGGCTCCTGACTTGGGACAGGCAAACGATGTGGCAGGGTACAACATATTTGTGTGCGCTCAACCTTCCCCCTAAAACTGTTGAACCCTACCACATGTTTTGCCTGTATCAGTTCGGGATATTTAACACGTGGTTTCCTTTTATCCCTTTGTATGTATTTTCATTGGTAGAACATCATTTAAACGCGATTTGAATAGTCTTTATGTGATTAAGGATGTTCGCTGTTCTGTTTCAAAATAACAAGCTTTTCGAAAGACTATAATGAATTGATAGTATATACATAAAGGAACTTAAAAAGCAGATAAAAATTAAGGGTCCATGTGCTTGTTTTCGAGATATAAGCCATTGAAAATTTGGCGGGAAATGATTCTCTCTAGATTTTTCATACATTTAACATTGGCACATTTTTTCTTTCAAAAACTCTGAAAAAATAACAAGGATTTTATAAGATTTTGAAATATGACTTTTTAAACTTTTTGTAATGATATTATGAAAAGAAAAGTAGAGGTTAGTGGGCAAAAGTTTTTAATGGCACTACATGGATAAAACCAGAGGATTCCGAATATCTGGCAAAAATTCTATAACAAGAGAAGCGAACATCCTTAACATCAATAAAAATATATCCATACAGGTCGCCATATATATCAATATATATTATTTATTATAACGGTAGCTTTTTTTGGCAAAGTAGTGAAGTCCTTCTGAAATAATTTAATAAATATTACTGGTATTACAATGACAACTACCCTATGTCAAAGATAGATAAAACATATGATAAACAAGTCGAATAATTAAATGAACGGTAATTATTTTATTATGTCAATTCTTTAATTCAACCTATTAGACTATTGTATTTGATGTATTGAGTCAGTGATTTTTTAAAGGTACTGTTCAAATAATTAGTCATGCTAATAGCTGATAAAGTAAAAATTGCATATGGGTGCTCGATTCTCTAATGAATTATACACAACTGGAAACAATATTTTAAATATATCTATAGTGATATTTAATATTTAAAATTTTGTTGTAAGAAATATTCTCGGGGAAGTCTGTATGAAATGGTGATATAGTCATTAGCCTTATAAGGTGTTGGTGTTATTGTATATCATACTTCCATCACGGGAGATACTGAGTATGGTCGCATAAAGTAAGTTACTTTAAAATAACATATTATATAGTTCAGATATACAAGAGGGTGTGGATGGGGGTTTACAGAATAGAGAATAATGGGCAAAAAATATATAGAATAATAAAGAAAAATGGACCATAAAATAAAGAATAGAGAAAAGTGAGGTGCTAAAATATAAAGAATAGAGAATGATGGGTAAAAAAATAAAGATTAGAGAAAAAAGATTGAAGAATACAGAAATGGAGGACCACCATGAAGAGCATCATTAAAATTGAGACGCGTGATATTTTTTATTTTTCTCGATGATTATAGATGATAGATGAACAGGGTTTCCTGTTACGTAACAAAAACGAACTAAAGAATCTGTTAGTATGGTTCATAGATGGTTATTTGGAACCCTTATTAGCATGTGGCCAAAATCATGATCATTTTCATTGTGGAAATAATCGTTTAATAAAGACAAAATCAGACAGTTTCCAAATTCAATAAAAAAAAATTATAAGGAATTATTTGGTAAGCATATATACCAATGCGACATAAAGACAAATGGACCAAAAAAATAAAAAAATACAGAATCCGAGTCAATTAAGATTGAAGTCGAGCGCACATGTCACGTGCAGGATTCGAACTCACATCAGAGTTGATAGGCTAGTGAGACAGTAGTTCGACTATTTTTTTTTTCTTGAATAAAATGTAATGCACATATTATTATCTACAATATTCTACCATCTATTATGGAAAACATAAAGTCCTTTTACTATCAGGGTTTCTCATTTACACAACTACCATTCAGCACATTCTACCATCATTTGCTTGAAATTTCCACAGAAAGACCTCTCGGTCACAGAGACCCTCCTGAAAATTAATAAACGAGTAAAGAGAATTGGAATACTAATGTTTAAAAGATATTATGAAAGATGAAATAAAACCTTTCAGTTGCTATTTTTACTCAGTTTAGAATGTACATTTCTTACCTAGTTTAACATAAACCTTTACCTTATCAATACTGTTATAAGTCTGTTATGAAAATGAAGCACAACGCCAACACACTTACTATTTTGTCTTATAATTATAATTGAAAAAAATAATTTTATAGAATTACTCAAATTCTGAATAACAATGCCCTATTTCACTTACAATGTAACATAACAACTGAACGCCAATTCAGCAACATTTATTACTCGGATTATTGATACCGTACAAGTATGTAACATACCATGTGATGTTTAGTGATTGATACCGTACAAGTATGTAACATACCATGTGATGTTTAGATTTTGTTTGTGTGCATGTTGTTCAGTAATTGTCTTAGGTGATGCATATCCTTGTAATATCATCCACTAAGTATTGAAAGGTTGATTTTTTCGTTTTTACAATAAACGTGTATAACTTGTTGATTAATTTCTATTTCACTTTCATTCTTTTAGAAAGATGACTGCTGTATCACCCGAAAAATTGACTCTTAAGAAAGCCGGAGAGTTAGTCATACTTGCTAGACGCTCTTTTCCTGAGACACTATCGTCGTCACCTGATTTTTCAGATCATGAGAGTTCCTCAGATGAAAGTTTAAATAATGATCAGGAAAGAGATTTGTTTCGACAAAAAAGTGTACTAGTGTCACAACCCCCAATTAAACACCGAAAATTGAGCAATTCAAGTAAAAGTAAACCTACTCAGGATAAACAGACCGTTGAAAATATAGAAGATAGTAGGATATACAACGACGAAGAGGTAGGGATCAACAGTACCTATACTATGTAGATCATAAAAATAATAAAACGACTGATACTGTACAAGACACGTGTTTTCAGAATGACTAATGCTCGAGAATAGATTGGTTCCCTCCGTAAAATACTCAATACGCTTTTGAGATGTACAAATATTGTCAAACCAGTAAAACAACAGCCGGGAACCAGTTTATTGACATATTGAAAGCAGACATTTAAAATTCTAAATCACTAGAGCATGAAATAAATGAATTGTACCGAAACAATCTATTTCATGATCAATGAGTAAAATGCACACTTGAAAAATATTGTGCGTCAAAAGCAATTTTCTGCGCGCGCGAGATCGCCCAGGCGATCAAAGGTACCTTTAAGTCAAAGTACGGTATTTGGTTACTGAAAGATACCTGACTCATTGGCAACCATCTTCCTGAGCATACATTAATTTCACGCGTCTGAAGCGCATTTCTGGATTTACCTTTATCATTGTCGCTCAAAGCCGAATATTTGAAAGCCATGGATGTGTAACAATATATACAAGAACCGAAACTGTTGCAGAGCTGAGAAGTTTTTAAGGATGTTTGTATAATATTTATGCTTATGTTGTTTCTTCTCTTGATGATAATGTGTTTTGGTTGCCTTCTTGTTAGGTCGAGGTATTCTTATAAACAAACAATTAGTTTCATTGGTTCAACTGTCGCCGTCGTGTATTCTGGTTTGTATTGTTAAAAGTATGTATGTTTTTTGTACCATTTTGTTCGTGTTTTTATAAGGGTCGTGTCTTTATAGTTTATAGTTTTTAATCTTTTTGCAGGTGGACATTCAAGGTCATTTATCCGTAAAGGATGAGTTACAAAAGTTTCGAACCTTTGCAGGTCATGAAATAATTAAGCGTTATGCTGGAGGTCAGCTATTTATATTTCTCCTTTTTATTATCACACCGTGTATATTAATTCATTTGTTAAGTTTCAGCACACTTTTAATAGATACATGTATAAGAAGATGTGGTATGAGTGCCAATGAGACAACTCTCCATCCAAGTCAAAATTTATAAAAGTAAACCATTATAGGTCAAAGTACGGTCTTCAACACGGAGCCTTGGCTCACACCGAACAGCAAGCTAGAAAGGGCCCCAAAAATTACTAGTGTAAAACCATTCAAACGGGAAAACCAACGGTCTAATCTATATAAAAAACGAGAGACGAGAACCACACCAACAAACGACAACTACTGAACATCAGATTCCTGACTTAGGACAGGTGCAAACAATTGCAGCGAGTTTAAACGTTTTAATGGTACCAAACCTTCACCCTTTTTCTGAAACAATAGTGTAACATCACAACATAAAAAGACACACTATAAAATATCAACTGAAATGGCTTAACTCAATCAAAGGACATAGTAACACCAGTGAACATACACTGAACAAATAAATTTGACCTATGATACAATGCAAATACAAAATAAATAAACTGAGGGAAGAATAATAAAAGTAACATGTTATACCGCTATGAAATGTTAGACAATTTAAGAAAAACAATATGCTCGAACAAAAATATCAGCCATTTGCAATTACTTTAAACACAGGGTAAATGAAAAAAATTTCAACATTGTTTTATCAATTATATGAGAGAAAACGGTATCGAATGTTTGTGAATTCAAAAGGTGGTATAAATGTACGCCAATGAAATATAAGAACCTGGGCCCGTATGCATAAAGCTACTTAAGTTAAGATTTGTTCCGAACGGACGGATTTTTCTACATTTCCTACGATAAATTAGTATTATGATTGGATATCTTAACTTAAGCGGTTTTATGCATACGGGCCCTGTTTAATATTTTAAAGTACAGAAAAAATGTTCTAACTGCAATTTATAGTTTAATGACTCGATGATCATACGTCACGCAATTTCAATAAAAATAATTAATTTAGTATACAAAATATAGATGTCACTGAGAAACCAGACGGGATGATACACCAATGCATCTAATTACAGATACCTTGCAAAATGTGTATACTATTTTATGAACTTGACACAATCTTATACTCAGGGAACTTGAAAGCATGCAGCGAAAGTTGGGAAAATATCCCTTTCTTTGATACTGAAATCAAGTCAATTCTCCCACAACGTGATTCAAATTGTGAGACATGAAGTTGTGAACTTTGATCGATTGATTGTTGGTTGCTTAACGTCCAGTGGAAAAGAACTTAGGGGATAACCATTTGATGATCTGGGGATAAAAATACAGAAATATATTTTACGTATACGCTGTAAAATAATACGGATATATGCTTGCTGAGGAATATATTTTAATATCAAACTATTACAATAACAAGTAGCAAGGATGTTTCATTATGATTTTTATTTATACTCCATCTTTTGTTTGTAACATAATTTCCGAGAACGAAAGGTAGTCAAATGAGAAAAACCCATACTGTATAGTCGGCTATAAAAGGCCCCGACATGAAAAAATATGAAACATTTTAACTGAGAAAACTAACGGCCTAATTTATAACAAAACACTTTACAAAAAACAATTATGACAGACATGAACCAACAACAACCACTGAACTACAGGCTCCTGACTTGGGACAGTAACATAAAAAATGTGGCGAGATTGAACATGTTTGTGAGCGCTCAACCCTCTCCTAACCTTGAACAGTGGTATAACAGCACAACATAAGAACAAGCTATAAAAATCAGTTGCAAAAAGGCTTAACTCATCAGATCGATACAAAACATAAAACAAAAATACAGACCGGACGTGGCAGGATAATTACCCATCCCTCATACCTAACAACAAAAATGACATTTAGTTCAGATCTGGGAGTACTTGCAGTTACGGGCAGCAAGTTCAAAGCCAATAAAAACTAATAAAAACATCATGTTTCTTAGAACAAAATATCAAACAGTACACATCAAACATCTAATGGATTTTTTACAGGTACAGCAACATTTGCAAACCTACTATTTGTATTTATGGAAGAATTTAGTAAAGGTTTTATGTAATTTGTGGTAACGAAATCCCCGACTTAATAATTTACCAATAATACATAGATTCCGCTCATTGAAATCCAAAATGTCACTACAGATACGGGCTTAACGAGCGAGTTGGGATATGTAAACACTGTAAGATGGTCCCAGAGGAACATCACCGTCCAAAAAAGGAAAATTAGCAATAGGGAAAGAAAAATCATACCTTTTGTCGTAAATTTTTCTGTAGACTTTCTTGGGTAAAATTGAAAAATCTAGGAAAGGACACTTACTGCTGTTAATACTCCTGTTCGTAAATTTTGGCAGTATATTCAGAGAATTCTTGATTAATATAACGTCAAGATAACGGTGAGTGTTGTTGAATTTATCAATTAATTGGAATTTAGACGGGTCTTTACTGTGTTTGGCCATAAACTGTGATTAAGAACAGATAGTTACATTGTTACAGATACATGTATTGATATTAATCCGTTTTAACAATGCGGAAAGAACATTGGTGATTTAGATGTTGAAATGAATAAAACATGTGTACATAATTAAACACTTACTCCTAAATTTCCCCCTTTCTGTTGCTTTGTAGAATGAAGTCCATTATAAGTATGTTATATGCTAGTTTTTGTTCTTTATATATCAAGATGCCTGTTATTTAAGAGTTTGCATTTGTACCAGTTTTCTTTTTCTTTTTCTGTTTCTTTTTTGTTGTATTAGAGAAGATAAAAGCTGGGTTACGTGTAGTGAGAACTGCTGACAAGGATGGTGGAAGTTCAAAAGACAAGCCTAATCGTTTAGGGACGATTAAAGCAGTAGAGATATCAGGCAAAAAAGTAGATGTTCTATGGGATGATGTTGATGATATAGAAGCGTGCAATACGGGAAGGGGAGATGAATTTGAACTACTTTTGTTCGATAATTCACTAGCAGGTATATTACTTATATAAAGATATGTATCTGACAACAAAACACGACTGATAGGTCTTAATGAAATATAATGTAAAGAATGAAAAAAAAAATACAATCTTTTCATCTATCTATTTTACGGCAGAAACTCTCTTTACTCAGGAATCGCCAGACATTTTTTTCTCAAATTAAGCAGTGTAATATTTGAATGTATCCTTACTATCACTTTTTTATGTCAATTGGTTCAGTTTGTGAAGGCAACTGCCAAGGGTTTATTTGTAAGATATACCGGACGTTTCAATGTTTAGAACATCTCGTCTCAATATAATAGCTAATGCATTAGTTAAATTTATAAAACCGAGTTGATGAGTCTTGACTCGCTATTGCTTAAAGTTTCGATATGTGCATTCAAATTTTATTCATACAATATTATATTTACTTAAAACTCGTGCTGTTATTAAACGTATTTCAACAATAGATTTAGATCAAAAATTAATTAACAATATCAAAAGGACTCAAAAAGTAGTGTCTTGAGTGTAAAAAAGGTGATATATGGATATATGTAATTTGCAATTAGACCTAAGCTGCATTTAATCATTTTGTTCCCATATCGTTATCACAAAAGATTATTTGAAAAACCAACAATACCATAGTCAAAGAAAAAAAGAGAAAAATAAAAGTTATGATACAGGGAATTTTTATTTTCGATCAACATGAAATCTATAATAATGTTTATAACTATCATGTATTATAAAGGTGCAAAACATACTCTACCTGGTGTTTTATGTGAGTCGTGTCAAGCAAATCCACTTCGAGGAATAAGATGGAAATGCTTAAATTGTGACTTCTACAATCTATGCACTGTGTGTTACATGAAAGATAAACATGATGTCAGTCACATCTTCAGACGGATTCAAAATGAGGATGCCAAAGGGTAAGAAATTTACAAGCCAATTTTAGATATAACATGATTGTAAAATCCATGTTAAAGATGTTCGCTTCTCTTGGTTTTGATTTCTTTGAAAGATATTCCGAATCCTCTGGTTTTATCCATGAACTGGCATTTAAAATTTTGCCCGCTAACCCCTACTTTTCTTTTCACAATATTATTACATATAGTTTTAAAAAACCATATTTGAAAATTTTATAAAATCCGTAGTTTTTTAAAAAATAGGTTGCCAATGTTAAATGTATGAAAAGTCTAGAGAGAATCATTTTCCGCCAAATCTTCAACGGTTTATATTTCGAAAACAAGTACACGGATTCTTCATTATTTTTTGCCTTATTTTGTTCCTTTATTTAGATACTATCAATTTATAACAGTCTTTTAAAAAGCTTGTTATTTTGAAACAGAGCAGCAAACATCCTTAAAAATTTCTTCAGCTGATGTTATTGTAGTTTGTCTACCTATCTCAAATTATATGAGATTAAGCGAGATTATAATGCCAATTGTTGTTTCAATGTCTCTTTGGTGTCTTCCCCCTTTTTTTATTGCTGTTTGTATTAAAATTAGAGGATGTATAAATGAACAAGAGTGCAATCAAGCAATGGGTATTGTCTTTCATATTATGAAATGTAATTAAATTTTAAACACGATGTATTATCTAACGTTGTTTTTTGTTTTGTTTTGTAAAGTAGGGGTCCTTAACTCATCTAATGTTGCTATTTACTTTTAATTTGTAAAACAATTATATTCAAACAAAGAAAAGGGCATGCATTCACGAAAAAATTCCTGGGGAATCATGCGCAGCAAAAAAGAGCAAAACACGATCTGAATTCCAGATTGAGTGAGGAGGTCAAAATCCTATTTTTAATCAAAGAGGCATAATTCAAAACCATTGCAATACCGAAACACTGATTACCTGTCGGTCAACCAGTAGTCATTACTTTCAAGTAGTAATAATTGATTTGTATGCTATTGTTGTGTGTTGTCATTTCCTTTAAGAAGTAAAATACATAAGACGTTCGAGCATCACATATGATTATTTCATTCAAACTACGTTAGGTCAAGTGATTCTAAGTCGTTTATGCAACTTGCTGTTCCGTTTAAGACATTGTTGATGTGATATGAAAATGCGATATTGTTAGTTGCCTTTACGAAGGTCTAAAATATTTCATAAATAAGTGCTTTATTCCCTGATAACCGAATGAAGTTATTACATACTCTGCTTATATCAGAGACATGTATTATAAATGGATATTTCCCCTAAAGTTAGGTTTTCTTCGACAGATGTTTTTGTTTTTGATTTATCATTAGGCGTGAATGTATACTATATAAATAAAAAGATGCAGTATGATATCCATTGAGTAAACTCTACACCAGAGACCAAATTACATAGAAGTAATGTCACCATACGGACTTCAACAATGTGCAACACCCGTACGTCATTGTAAGCTTTAAAAGGCCAAGAAATGACAACAGTGAAAAAATTAAACGGGAAAACTGACGGTCTGTTTACAAAGATAAGACAATCATATTTTATCTTTATTGCAATCACATATTTACCTGATCATTCCTTCGAAGATTTTACATTACCTTAAATGTCTTACGCCAGTTGTTTAAGTTAATATATCCTTTGCTTTGAAATATCCGGCTTTGCGCGTTCCTGATGAAGGTAAATCTAAAAAGCGCTTCGGACGCATTCAATTTATAAAGTATTATGCTAATTTTTTTATAGTAAAGGCTTGATACTGCTGGTGGTGGTTTAACAGTCCCCGAAGGTATGATCGGCTCAGTAGTCAGTACTTCGGTACTTCGCTACTGTTAATATTCATAGCAAAAAAAAATGAGAAACAATGAAGAAACTTGGGTTTGAATTTGGATATCATTTGTATACCCTTTTTTGGTCATAGAGCTCTTCACTTGATTCTTATGCCACGTTCACACGTACATTTAATTCGAATTGAATTCGAATCGAATGCGAATCGAATTCGCCAATCACGTTCTTGTGCTGCGTTCACACGTAATTCGAATTCGATTCGCATTAACTAATTCGAATTAGTTTAAGTCGCATTCGAAACGTTTTACGTCCAAACGTAAATTCTAATTCGAATTGCAATGCGCGTCAAATTCGCTTTACTGTCCGAACGACGTTAACTTTTAATTCGTATTAACAAAAACGCATTTCTAATGCGAATTAGATAATGCGATTTAGCCAATTTGAATCAATTCGAATTAAAAAAGAAGAGTGTGTGAACGCGATTAGCGAATTCGATTCGCATTCGATTCGAATTCAATTCGAATTAAATGTACGTGTGAACGAGGCATTACACTTTTCATTGTTTTAAATCGAATCGAATTGTCTAATTCGTTTTATCCAATTCGCATTAAAAATGCGTTTTCGTTGATGCGAATTAGTTAACTCGCTTTAATTCGATTTAAACTGTGGTGTGGTCACTTTCTTAATTGTAATTCGAATTAAATTATAATTGATTAATTGAAAATGCGAATTAAAAGTTAACGACGTTCGGACAGTAAAGCGAATTTGACGCGCATTGCAATTCGTATCAAAATTTACGTTCGGACGTTATACGTCGAATGCGAATTAAACTAATTCGAATTAGCTAATGCGAATCGAATTCAAATTACGTGTGAACGCAACATAATACACACTTGGCTTTCAAATATTTGGCTTTGAGTTTACTTGATGGTGGAAAACCCACGAACGAGCTTCGACGCATAACATTTATAAAGTGTCATTTTTTTCCCATGCAACAATCAAATTTATTTGTTTATATTATTAGCATTATCAATCAATTTTAAACTTTTGTTTTATTTGAGCGTCACTGATGAGGGTTTAGTAGACGAAACGCTCGTTTGGCGTACAAAATTTCAATCCTATGATGTATTTTTGTTTACTGACGGCAAAAAGCAATTGCCTTACAAAGCGATCTTACTGCAACCAATACTTTTGATATTCTAAAACATTCCACTGAAAGCTATTACGGAAGTTTTGTTGACATAAACACAATTGACCATTTTCATATTACCGACTTTTGACTCCAGAGTTCCTTTTTTTTGCACAGGTTACCTTCATTTTGGTAGAACGTCCTGGTACTCGGTTAAGCAAGAACAACGTCAAATAGTAAAACCAAGCTTTCAATCGGTACAATTTTGGGTGAAATTAACTGTTTTATTTTTTCTTTACACGGCTAAATAGTCGGAAATCTGTAAACTTTCCCCAACAATTGCACAGATTATATTTTTTATTTTACTTCTTTTGGTTGCTCTTACTTGACTGAGTACCAGGATGTCCAAACACAGATTAGATAACCTGCTGAAAAATTAAATAATTCGAAGTCAAAAGTCGGTAAAATGAAAAAAGTCTATCGTATCCGTTGAAAATTTATATATGAAAAATATATAACAATGTTTTAAATAGAAAAAGGTTTTTACAGCGTTGAAATGCCGCCACGGGTAGATATACAAAAGACAGGCAAGAGGTATGCCAGAGGTATACTACCTAAAGCACTTGTTAGATTGAGAGGAAAACATAAGAAAGGTAAGTAGGTCGAAGTATTTGAAGAAAATTATTATTTTAAAAACAAAGGTATACCAAAACATATCAATAAATGAGAAGGGTAATAGTTTTTTTTAAATGTGTGGCTGACTTTTGAAAGCTTCTCGTTCAATTGCTTGTGTCTAGAATCTAGTGTCAGTCGTTATGGACTTGTTCGCATTGGATATAATGGTGCCTATTCAAATTAAGCACGTTCTTAGCTAAAGACAACAGTAGAAATTTTAAATAAACAAAGTTTAAAATATGATTAACAATATATTAAACAATAAAAAGTTAATGACTACTTGCCATGGCATTACCAGTTCGTTTTCGACTAATGATTATGACTATTCCTTTAGTATTTTATTTTCTCTCTTTTATGATTGATTGATGTTTGCTTTACGCTGCATCAGCACAAAAAGTGTATTTTTTTCGGCCACCTCTCTTTTATTATTTATCTTCTATTTGTATTTTTTACTTTGTAATGTGCGCAAAATATATATATATGTTTTAGTTTGGAAGGTAGCAGGGTACTGTAAATCGGAAAATGACACACTTGAATTGAAGATCAAACGTGACGAGGAAATACGTCAATCGAGAATAAGCGAACTGATATGTAAAAAGGGGAGAACAGTTAAATACTATCCTGATCACCTTCCAACCGTCGGAAAAGGTAAGTAATAACATTAATAATATGATTGAAGAATCGTGTACTTTCATTTCAACTTATTAAAAATACTACGCCTGCACTCTGGTGCGCGGCATGCGATTGAATAGATGGATTTTTTATCATAGCTGTAACAGAAAAAAACTAAGGAGTGCCATGAGATAGCTTAGTTTACACCAATTCCCAAAATGAATGATTACAAGACAATTTTTCTAGAAATACGTGCAAAAAAACAATAGCTTTTGGTTTTGCGAAGTCACTTTATAAAGACTTTAAGGTCAAGTGTCTTGAATTAAAAATTTCAATGGAAGGTGCATTAACTTTAAGAAGAAGTAAAAGAGTCACAATTCTAGTAGTTCTATCTTTGTGGTTACAAAGATATAAGAAATGCACGTACACGCAAATATAAAAATGTAGACATTGACGTTTACCTTTGACCTGGAACTCAATTTGTGAGTTGTGTACCAAGGATCTGAAATATTCATGTCTTACTAATTATGATCTTCACAACATAACGCTTAGTATAATACATAAAATAGTCAAGGGTAGATAACTCATTTTATATGTCACGGGATCGCTTCGATAGAAAATTAAGAATAAAAGAATAAATTGAAGAAAAAAATGTCTTTCTCTGTTTCTTTTCTTTTTTTATTACGGTAAATATTTGCACAAAAGAGATTGATTTATAAATATATTGGATGTATAGTTATCAGCGTTACAACGCCCAACAAAGTTAAGGGTCTCGCTAAACTTAAGTAGAGGTGATCGTACAGACAATTAATAAACATTTGAAGAAAATGTTAAAAAGAATACAAACCCAAGAGATATTCTTCGATAAATTACAGTATCAAACCTGTATTGCCTTACCTAGCAGACATTCAGCAGTACCGCAGCTATGAATGAATATCAAAGTAAGATTCAACTTATTTCAATTTTCATTTATTTTACTATAAAAGCAGGTATTTACTGGTATATAATAGATTAAGATTAAACCATTATCAATTTGAAATTCCGATGACTTTCTTTTAATTAAATGATATATTCATTTGACACAATCTATGTTTTAGTTGCCTTTGGACATTTAGAGGTTTATTTTAAGGACAAAAGCATGAAGAAAAAGGTACTCTATTTATCATATTCTATTCATGGAGACACATATTTTCATAATGAACATGAAAAACTAGCTTCGATGTTATTACTGTGTACATCTTTTGTAATATCGCAAAAAAATATTTGAAACTTGTAGATTCAACCAACAATTTACCTAACTGATTTAGCTTGATAATATGATGATGAAATGGTGTGAAATTTCTGAAATAGCATATTCGCTCCAAATCTTTTTTAAATTATTTTTAATTTATTTACACATAGCAAAAAGAATTTACAAGAATACGTAACTCCTAGTTAAGTTAAAAAATGGGGATGTCTATAAACCGGATAAAAACCAAGCACTTATCGTTATCAACTGACGGAGGAATACAGTTACCATGTCGACATCATCTGTGTTAGCAGTTCATGCAATTTCCTTTGTTTTAGTTTTTGCCTTGATTTGTAACTTTTTATGAATGTTGAAGATTTGAACATTGGTATACAAATGTAGCCTCTCATTAACATAGGTAACTATCTATAAACGTATTTCTCTAATTCTTACACGATTATTTTTTATTTAATCAACGTGCGGTTTGTTTGATATCAGTTCTTCATTAGTCAAAATTCGGTTATGACGTACAATTTTCTTGTTTTCTTCTGAATTTTCTATTGTGATGTCATGAAAAAAAGGCGACTATGTCTGATGACGTCATAAAGATAGAACACATCTTATTGCAGATCATTCGAAAGAAAGGGTTGAATTGTCTGCATATCTTATAAAATCATTAGAGAAATAGATTCCACCACCAAATCTTGTGCGATACGAGATTAATCTACTCTCGACAGTTAAATTTTAAATATTTTAAACGCTCGGCGAACCTCGTGTTTTAAATTTGAAAATTTAACTGTCTCGAGTGGATTCATATCGTATCACACTCGATACAGCGGTAGAATCTATATTTCTCTAATTCTTTCCCGTTTTATCCTTTCCCTGACCTGTTGATTATTTTTATTTAATCAATGTGTGGTTCGTTTGATCTCAGTTTGTCATTGGTCAAAATTCGACTATGACGTCAAATTGTCTTGCTTTCCCCTGAAATTCCTATTGTGACATCATGAAAAAAGACGACCATGCCTGATGATGTCACATAGAAAGAACACATATTTTTGCAGATTATTCGAAAAGAAGGATAATGATTGTCATATCGTCTAAAAATCATTAGAGAAACATATAACACCAACAAATCTCGTACCATAAGGTATTTATCCAATCTCGACAGTTAAATTTTAAATATTTATAACGCTCTGCGAGCCTCGCGTTATGAATTTGAAAATTTAACTATCTCGAGTGGATAAATATAGCATTACACTCGATGCAGTGGTAGAATCTATATATGTCTGTCTTGGTATGTACATCTGTATAGTTTTTATTTTCACCGAATTCTGTACATTTTTGTATTTGCAAATTATATATATAATTCTCAGATTCAGGTTGATATCTGGTGTATGACAAAAAGAGAAGAGAAGAAATTCTACACACCTAGTCTGTTTTTAATTTTTGCCAACCATGAAGGATACAACGAAGAAGACAACACTGCTCTTTTAGAAGATGTTATTGAGTTTTCAAGTGGGTACCTAAATAATTTTCAATTCAGTGGTTTTCGTTTGTTGCTGTGTATCATAATTGTTTTTCGTTCATTATTTTTTACAAAAATCTATGCGAAACGATATATCTATCATTGTCTATATAACCTTTCAGGTAAACAATTTTTATAAAACATTTATGCAAACTAGCATGGAACCTAATGGACAGTCCTGGACAGGTTTTTATCGAAACTCTTAAGAAAAATTACAACAATAAAACATATATTTACTATAAACTATGATTTGCAATGTTTATTTATTAGAGCTTTAGGATCTTTATTGGCCGATAAGTGTGAAGTAAGCATCATGATGCAAGACATAACTTGATTTCAACAGCTTAAATTTAAGTGATAAATTCCCGGGTCTGAAACTGAATGGATTGCAAAATAGTGTTTTAAACCTAAAAAAAAATGGAAAAGATATACTGCATTACGCCATAAAGTGTGATTAGCTGCTAGAAACGAAATGTGTCCGCTTTAAATTTTGTATTGATCCTCAACTTCTCCATTTCAAATGAGAGGACAGCCATGACACCATTAGTTCGCTAAATGTTTTCCAGAATTATGTATTGATATTAATTTAAAAGAATTGATAAGATACCGACATCGAATTTATTTAACATGTATATAAGATATGATGATGATATTATAATGTAACTTTTTACTTTCAGAGAAAACATTGTTACCTTGTTATGTTGTTCATCAAAGACTGCTGTTTTATCATGGATCAACAACTGCTGTAGTAATACATTATAAAACAAGATATGATATTATAAAGGTATATTATCAATATTTATCAGATATTTTACAGTTTTAACGGTAAAAATAGCTGAAATAAGCAGCCGATATCAAAATACTAGTGGTGATTACCCTGGGGTATCTTGTTCCCATTATCTATCCCATATTCGGTTGTATGACTTATTAAAGTAATAAAACACTTTTTATCATATTTTCAGATGTATATTACTTCAGTTCTACATACTTTTCTGAAGACAATACAAACTACATTACTTGAAAATTGAACAACATGAACGATTTCGAAAGCCAAAGTTGATCGAACATATTAATTAGAATAATGTCGAATGAAGATCTAAATTGAAACATCAGTCTTTTTGTTTGTCTGCCAGTCTATCTGTATTTGTTAATGTTATTTATATTTTCAACAGTTTCCATTAAGCGAAATGAGCAATTTATTATGTTTTAACTTTACATAAGTTTATTCTTGCCATTGTGTTGTTGTTCTGCTTTTTTTGGTTTTTTTTTTCATATGTAACACATGTATTTGTTTTTCTGGCAAGCTGCAATGCAACCCCTGTGTTCCACGGCATTATCTCACCATTTATGTTAGAAGCACACGTGCCATAAATTTATGTCTAATGTACAATTGTATCTTGCTTGCATTTCTGCATTTTATTTTTATACTCGTGTATTTTTCATCATTTTTATGACAATACCCAAGAGAATCTTTTTCTCTGTCAAAAAATAAATTTTTGATAAATTGACCAATAAATAAAACTCAATCATGCGATGTTTTTTTTTATTCCTCCGTCTACGTCATTTCTTCTCTCCCGTATATTGAGTGGTAATGCTTCATAATCATTCCTTCCCATATTCCTTATCCGGTGCGTTATTTATCATTATCATTTAAAGAAATTTATTTTATGGCAAAAATACTATTCTTTTTTATGTTTAATTGTTTTATGTTTATGAACAGGAATTGGTAAAGAAGGGATATTCGAATTTTGAGAGGGGAGAAATGATAAGTGAAGACGAAAGTGAAATTGAGTATTTCAAAAGAATGGCAGAAAGTAAGTTTTTGTTTTGTTGTAAAAAAACGATATTTCAGTCAAATGAGAATAAAACTTTCTACATTTATTGTAATCTGGGGTAACTTCATCAGAAACTCTCATTCCAAAAACGTAAAAGCCTATGATGTATACATTCATAAACATAAAATCAAAAGTACATGTAGCCAAAATAGGAATGATAAAATTCTTTAAAGTTCAACCTTACCTGAGTGTGTTAGAACTTTAGTTTTGATAATTCTTCAATTGACCAACGGAAAATTTAGATGCTAACGCATTTTATAAATTGTGTTAGTACCTATACAGCGACTACCATGTGTTCTAATCTATGGTAGATAATGCAGCATCAAGTCTATAAGGATACATAAACTGGTACTCCAAAAACAAATTGAATAAAATATGCTAAACGTTTAGAACTTCATTCAAGTGACAAATAGTCATATTGTACAAAACATTAATCCGTTTGAAAAGTAGAAGGCAGTGATAAAAAAGACAATAGTCTATTTTCATATTTCCGACTTTTGACTCCGGGTTCTATGTTTTTTCGACAGGTTACCTACTCTGTGGTAAGACATCCTGGTACTCGGTCAATTACGAGCAACCAAAAAAGGTAAAATCAAATATATAAACGGTGCAATTTGGGGGGAAAGTTAACTGATTTCTGATGATTTAGTCATGTATAAAAAGCATTAAACAGTAAACTTACCTTCAAAATTGTACCGATAAAAATCTTGAATTTACTTATTTACGTTGCTCTTGCTTGACCGAGTACCAGAATGTCCAACCACAGAGAAAATAACCTGTAGAAAAAATATAAATTCTGGAGTCAAAAGTCAGTAATATGAAAATGGGCTATTGGTACTAATCCTCTAAATATTTTATTTAAATAATGTAAAAGCCTAGCTTGCTTGCATTCATATATAATCTAAAATTGAATAGTTCCTAACTATCGATCAATTTAAGTCGTAAAATGTCTTATGAAACGAAGGCTACTATCTGTGTTTAAGACCAATTTAATCTTTTCATTTTTGGCGGCTAGTTTTTAAAGACGGAGGACGATAAAGTACCAAGAGAAAACAAAATATCATCAGAAAACTTGCAATCCTAGTCAATAAGTGGTCAGAATAGAACACACCTGTCACGAGGGGAATTCAAACTCACAGCAGCAGTATTTGAAGACCATTTACGTAAGACGCGTATAACCCCCGAATGAATCACAAGTCCAGTACTTAGCACTCCGTCTTCAAATCTGTTATCATGTGATAACATAAACTTCTCTTTTATATTCAGGGTTTCGTTATTTCTATTTTTAATTAGATGTCTTGGGTGAGAAAGTTTTGCCTGTGGTCATATCTCTACGAAACGGTGGATTTATTGAGACTGTCTTGTCAAGTGCAGAGAAAATGCAGTTTCCAATTGTACAAATTGAGGTAAATAGCATGAATAAGAATGACTTTATTAATAAAAAATGATCAAAACGTTATATCATGTTTCTATTTTCGTCAACACACATCTTAATTATATATTTCGTTTTTTTCCTATTTCATTTGATAGCCATCATACATGGAAGTATTCAACTAAATAACTTTTAATCAGTTTTCTTACATTCTTTTGAATATCTTTAAAACATAGCAAGTAAGAACTGAAGAATAATGTAATGTGATAATCTATGATTATATAATATGCAGGAGATATGATCAAATGGTCATCGATATAATATCCATGTTTACCATTGTAACAACGGACATAGATTCAACAACAATATATCCCTTATCGATTGAATTTAAGTATTTGAGGTAAAAGGAGACTGTATATTTATATAAAAAATGTTTTAATGAGATATTTAAGGGGAAGAGCTTTTCTTTGTGCATTAAAGGAAATAAAAGGAACAACAACAATACCACTTAACCTTGTGTAATGTTTACTAAATAAATTATCTGACAGTTCTTTAGAATTTTGTTCGCTGACTTTGTAATATAACTTGAAATGAAAAGTTTGCGATTATTACGATAGTGATGCGATTATTTAAAAAGGTCTTAACCTATTGGATTCCAATCTTATTATGGAAATGTCGTATATTCAGGCAAATGTTCATTATACAAGTAATTTATTTTGATTAATGAACTAAGATATAGAAACATATTGGCCTGGTGCACTATGTTTAAGGAATAGATAAACACTTTTGACCTGCTCTAGCCTAGTTAGAAGTGACGAGCTAAGTCTAAGGTCATAAACAATCATATTTGTATATAAATATAAAATCTTCTGTTCTTTTCTTCTTAAGTCTTTATCATTTAGAAATGTTTTGATATTATATTACATTGTCTTTAATGACATGCTTTTTCCTTTATTAGGTCTTTCCACTTTTTCCGTGGAAAGACCTTTTGCTTTTGTTCTGATTATTTTTTATTTTTTTTTTTTTTTCTTCTTCCTAATTTTGTTCATGCGCTGTATTGTTATTTTAAAAGTTGTCGCTTAGATATTTTGCATTTGATATCGAACAGTTTTATACGCTTTTAAAACTGACACCGCTTAACCGAACACTTTCTCATGTAAGAGTTATCTCCCCGAACACTGTGTTTCTTGTGCATACTACTCCATCGCAACCGTAAAAGATTACGACAAATTTATTTTACCAAAATACTCGTTACATCCTCAGGTTGTCAAGAATAATTTTGATCGAAGAGATCTGAACATTCCATATGAGAGTTATTTCCCCTTATGTATTTGACATAAAAGAAATGTAATAGAAACTACTAATATACACCTTAAGTGATAGAGACCTAGTGTCTTCTGATTTGAGGTCCTGGGTCCATAAAAAAGAAAATAAGGTCAAGGTCAAAGGTCAAGGTCATGTTTACAATTTTTGCTTTTACTTGTGCATACCTCTCCTAAGAAACTGAAATAGATATCGACAAAACATTTTCACTTAATTGTTAGTTGTGATCTGTCGCAATAGGAAATTTTTATTCGCAGCGAAGCGGTAACATTCACTAGGAGTTTTCTCCCCTTGAATGATAAAAAGTAAAATGTATTGTTATATAATTTATTAACAATACATAGTAGAGACCTAAGGTCTTTTGATATAAGGCCCTTGTTTGATGATCTTGAAATTGAGGTCAAGGTCATAGGTAAATTTAACGTTCTAGATTTTGACCTTTGCTTTAATTTCATATGTATACATGATAAAGCCATTGGACTTTGTGCATTTGGTTTCAAGCCATATGACCTTGAAAAAGCCAACCGGAAGTGACCATGTGTAAACCGGAAGTAACTATTTTTCGTACTTATTTAATGTAAAAGTATATAGAACCTTACATTTTTAGAATCATTGTCATATTTAATATCAAATAAAACCGAAAGTGACATTTTTCAAACCGGAAGTAACAAATTATCTCCCTTATTTCAAACAAAAATGTATAGAAACCATATATTCTAGGAATCAGCGAACAATAAGCTATCATTTGACACTGGAAATGACATTTAAAACCGGTTCTTTATATTTTCATATCAAAATATATCGTTTCGGGTGGAAAGACCTTCAATTGTTCTCGAACAATTGGTTTTTAATTTGTTTTAATGTTTGTTTGTTACATTTTCTTATTTCAGAAAACCAGTAAGGCTGTTAGTGTTTTAACTTCTTTGACATTCGAAGAAAATGAATCACAATATAAGGCAACGACACATATAACGACTTTGAATAAACCATGGAGCGCAAAAAAATCAAAATCATTTTATATACAGTTAAAGAAGGAAAATACAGACAATCTGGATGAAATATCAACAATAGCTGATATACCCAGTCAGATAGAGTTAGATATTCTTGTATGTTACTTACTAATCGGAGGTAAAGTTTTTTTATAACTCAAATACACTGTTCTTCTTGCGTCTTAATCTAATTGAAACGAGTGGCGTTTTGATTTCTAAAAAAAGAGAAATTTTGTAATATAACCAATAACTTTTGAGTGAAGCTTTACATGTAATCGTTTGAAAAACTCACTTTTTAGAAACAAATATTCTGTTGGCATAACATATATTTGTTTAAATATATATAATAAAATACCGATACCATAGAACCAATTTCATCCTAATTTGTTGGTTTTTTAGCGCCCTGCATCTTTTTTTCATCATTTATATTGTCGTGTTACATCTTTTGTCAAAGAATATCTGCATAGTTGAATATACAAGTTTTGTTTAGGGGATTCTCTCTTCATCCTATTCATAAAATGTTCCTACGTTTTTTTCTCAATCTGTTAATGGGTACTACTAGCTCTGCTGATTTCAGATAGACATGAAACACAAGTGAAATGTTGAGTTATGTATTGGGTTATCGACATCCGTTCGGAAAGTTTCAAAAAGAAAGTAAAAAAATGGATTGCCACTAACGGCGCTAAGAACATGATTGATAGTAGTAGACATTTTTTCTTGCAAAAAGCATTCCACGGTCTTCAAAACGTTGTTTAATTATTATCCTCTTTCTACGATGAAACTCATTTCACGTTCTCATTCTTTCAACTAGGATGTACATGTATACATCCCAGACCGCCATTAAATATGATCTTGACTACTTGACTATATTTATATACCCAAGTTAACTCTGTTGGTGTTACTAAGACAAACACATTTTCGAAGAAAAAGTGGACATAATAAAAAAATATTTCTATGAAAATTTATTCACAAATAAGAAAATGTGGTTTAACATGTATATTGCGACAACTCTCCACCAGAGACCAAATGACATGGTCATATATTCTATCCTACATTTTTGTCGAAAATTATATTTTGGCATTGCATAGGATCATGATTGGAGGAAGGGGGTGTTTTAAATTGTTTTTTTTCTAATGCGGATTAATTGGCTTTTTCCACTTGTTTAGAAATAAATATTAATTTTATTTGAAATATAGTAATACATTTTTCAAAACGATAATTTCATGTGTCAGATATTTTATAGTTTTTGTTCTTGTTATATTTTAGCATCAATGGCGAGCCACGATGATGCTGACATGTATGTAAGTATAAGAAACAATACAGGAGGGACTAAGATTGAACATTTTTAGAAACGCAACACACATTTTGGTGATTTTTTTTACCAAGTCATGATTGATCCTCATAGAACTACTTTTTATGCTAAACATACTTCTTTATGGTTAGAAAATTCAATACCTGACTTACATGAGGGTATTGAACAAACCAGATTATTGAAGTCGCACGAACTTCTTTAAGCGAAAATTTGAAACCTTTAAATGATTTTTTTAAGGATTTTTTTTCGTTAAACAATTCTTTCAATCCATACCCACACTTGAACTATTAAAAGAATGTTGCACATCCATATTGCCGAGACTAAGCAATGAAAATCTGAATCAGGCCATAAGAATATTGCAGGCAGGAATAAGTGAACGTGCTGTTTTCAGACAATTTCACGTCAGAAACTCGTTTTACTGTCCTTACAACAACGGTACGGGCAGACGGGATTTGTGGATGACCATCCATGACGAGATCAATATGTAGTGACAACGCAACGTCAATAAAATTTGATTATGCAACGTCTTTTGCGAGACATGTTTACGGCCGCAACGTCAACTGCTAATCAAGTCGACGAATGTCATGGCAGACATATTCATGCCAAAAATGTTTCCCATTTACTGAAATGCCAATGAATCGACTGCAGCAAAAACATTTAAAGCACTAAAGTTTAAACCATTTAATTGCTAAAACACACTGTAATGCACGGGACAGAGGCAAAATCAGAAGGTACAAAACAGAACTCAAAACATGCTCAACAAAATTGGTTGACCTTTCTGACAATCATTTTGACGTTGGTTGCAGGCAGTCATTGCCTTCGACGGTGAAACACCCTTTGATACGGCGAAAACCAGAGTTTTAGTGCATACCACATGATTTGAACTTTAAAAATGACGTCATCAGTTCAACTTTTGAACTGCAACCTTTTTTTTCAGACAATTAAGAAATGAATAAAATTTATGTTTATACATTTATTTTACAAAAATTGCCTATTTCAAAATGGGAATAAAAAAGAATAATCTAGTGTTGCGTTTTTGAAGTACGTCAGTATTGAACATGTTTGACATTGTAATAAACTGCGAGAATCTTTGCAATCCCTTTAGCTGATAATGAGATTCATAAATTATAATTAAACTGATTAATAATACTTTGATATGAAATTATGGACCCGGAAATGATAATAGTATAAAAAAAAAATAACAAAAATATCGAACTCCAAAGAAAATTCAAATCGAAAAGTCCCTTATCAAATGGCAAAATCAAAATCTCAAACACAACAAACGAATAGAAAACAAGTGTCATATTCCTGACTTGGTACAGGCATTTCCTTAAGTAAACAATGGTGGATTAAACCTGGTTTTATATCTAGATAAACCTCTCACTTGGGTCTTCTTAACACTATGAGGGTAAGGCAGACATGAACCGCAGGCAAGATTACGAAAGACGAAAGGACGCACAGTCCAATCATTGTAGATATGAGTCAAACGTAACTGCCACAGTGTTTGCAGGGTAATTTTGATATAATTAATATACTTAGACCATTTGGCCATCGCGGACCGACTTAAGAAACAATATCATCGTTTCAAAACTGAATTTGTTCATTTTTGTTTTGTTGATAATTTACATTCACAAAAATTGCTCATAACACAGGCATGTTCTGCTTAATTTTAAATAACATAGTTTATTCATTTAATATGTACCGTGTTCAAAATCCTAGGGAGAAGACACCGACATGTATGATAATGCACTGGCAATGTACCTACTGAAAAAAGGACAGTGGAGAATCCCAAAGGAATTCATCAACAAGTACTTTGGTCTCCAATCTTTCAGATATATCTACGAAGATGTAAGTACTTACAAAAAAAAAGTTTATATATATACATGTACTCTCATCTTAGACATGACTAGTTATGGTATACCACAGTTCGTCCGTTGTTCTATCTGTCAGTATGTCGAGACATTATGTGATAACTCAAGTTTGCTTAAACCAATTATCATGAATTTCATCACAGCATTAGGATCGAATGATTTTTGGTGTTGTGTGGTTTCACAGTTACGGTACTTAAACAGTCAGATTTAATGTATTTCTTTACATATCGATTTTTAAATGTTTCTGATGTGTCATTCCAGAGTGATGAGACTTGAACTTTTACAATTAAGTTTATTTTTCACATCTACCTCAACTTGAGTATGCTTGCATTTATTTTCTAAAAAAGTTGTAACTTAATAAAAAGATACCTTTGATTTTGAAAATTTGCTGATATTTCATTTCAGATTTACAGGACTTTTACAGTCAGATTAAAAAGAGGCATTTTGTTACATGTAATGCATTAACTTTACTATGCTTTATGAAATTTACTACATACCTTCAAACACAAATTAGTGTTTTATTTATCTGTCCTTCCTGTATTTGAATTCTGATTACAAATTAATTAAAATTTAACTTGTTTAACAACTCATTACTTATTGTGACGGTTAAAACACCTACAGGGGTTGCCGTTATTCACATCATAGTTTTCATATACAAAAAGAGACCACAAGGGAGTATTTTTATATGGTCACATTAACTTTATTCATCCTTCGTGAAATCCTGAAACGCCCTTTTGCGTATTCATACATACGCAGCCATTTTAACATTAACATCCATTGAGATTTTAATACATGGTATTATCATCACTGTCAATTTCGAAAGTATACATGGTATATTGACATTTGAATTGATGTTATTGGGTTGCTGACTTGTTTTATCTTATATATTGTATTGCTATCGATTTGAAATTTTGAATGAGTGTGGAATTGTTTTGTGTGTGATGCATGCATACCATGAGACATTTACCCTATCGACGTAACCGGTATTGCCAGTGTTCATGCGCTTTTCTCAGATTTTGATTGTTAACTTAATTTGTCTATTCCTAATCAAATTTCCAGCTTTGAACATCAATGAACTACTTCCACCTTAATGTATGGAATAATACCCGACACATGTGTTAGTTCATTATTGGTTTTAAATATTGGTAAAGGAGGGTTTATTTTTTTAGTGGGGAAAGGGGGGGTGTTCTATTTTCTAATTTAGTTGTCTATCCCTTAATATAAAAGTGTTCGGATCAAGATTATACAACATAACTTAGAGAGTCTTAATTAGTCAAAATGAAGGGACTAAAAGTAAGTACAAGTTCTTAATGATTCCTTTACAATTTGAAACAAAACTATTTAGGTGTATGGCACAACAAAAATAGAGCAAAAAGATAACATTAAATGTCTGTTTACCGTGTCTCTTCATTGTGATATAAGAGATTATAAAATGCAGCATATACAAACAAAATGACAACACTTAACGATTGCATTACAGAAACAATATTGGCAAAAAATCTATGCTATTCTAAAAATATGCCACGAAATGAAATCGATAGACAGTGATTTATTTGTGATAATAATTTTTTTTTAATACCAGAATGTAACAACAGACATGGGAATATGGTCCAAACTGAGGAACATACCTTGTTTGGTTGATGTAACACCTAAATGGATTACAGAAGGTAACACATTTTATATTTTTATTTCAACATTAATGCTAGACGTTTTAACACCTTTTAACAGAACTGTATGTTTTTCCATGAAATAAAACAAGACGATTGAAATTTCAAGAACCGAAACAACAGTAGGAAAATGAAAACAAAAACATGATAAAATCGTTTCATTTTGTTAGGCTAGACCTGAAAACGTGTGCTATTATTTATTTTTTTACTGCGTTTCCTTACTGAATATGCTAAACGACGGACGTTTCCGGGTAAAAAAAAATGACCCCGTGTCAGAAAATGAACGCAGGTGAAAGAAAGAATTTGTAAGACACATTAAAACTATGTTCACGGAATATCCCAATGTAGAGTATCTTTGTTTATTTGTTTGTATTCCTCAAGTAACTTCATATAATTTCAAAAAGGACTAAAGACACGCAAGAAAAGACCGATTAAGTCTGAGGATAAAAATATGGAGATGTGGTATGATTACCAATAATACAACTATCCACCAAAGTTCAACTGAAGTGGATGTAAACAAATAAAGGCAATCGTACGGCCTTCAATAATGAGAATAACTCACACCAAATAGTCGGCTATCAAAGGCCCCACTATGAAAAATATGAAACAATTCAATTGAGAAAAGTAACTACCTTATTTATAACAACACAATATACGAAAAAAAAATATGACAGACATGAATCAACGACAACATAGGATCTAGTGGCTGTTGACTTGTTAAGTTAAGAAAGTGGCGGGTTTAAACATGTAAGAAGGCGCCAAACCTCCCCTAACCTGGGACAGTGATTTAACCGTACAACACACTACAAACCAGTTAAAGTCTGAAATGGCCTCTATCTGTACTCGACTGTACTGATTTTTACTCTTCCAGTCTGAATTGGTCTGACAATTTACTTGATAATACTCGACTGTAGTCTGAACCATACTTTACAGTCTGAACTTGTAATTGACCTTTACTCGACCAGTTCTTAACCATTTTATACGAGTCTGAACCATACTCGACATAGTCTTAACCATTCTCGACCAAGTCTGAACCATGCTCGACCTACTCTGAACAATACTCGACCAAGTCTTAACCTACCTAGACCTATTTTTTGTATCTATCTGTTGCATTTCATCAATTTAGGAACTGTTATACATATATATATATATATATATATATATATATATATATATATATACAATGTATATCACATTTAAAATCAAAATAAAGAAATCAAATTTCTGGTTGGATTAAAAAAATATCATGTAATGAATTTAGTTTTCGTTAAATGAATTTTTATGTACATGATACCATGTTCACATTGCTTTATGTACATAAAAAATACTAGAACTTTCAACCATTATTCAAATATCTTAAATGTTATTCTTTTTTTTATCAAAATATATATAAAATAGCGTATAAAGCAACTTAATAAATGTTAAAATGGACACCTTTGTTCTGTAAAAACAAAGAACTTGATATAATAATAATAATAAAACTTTCACAGAAATCCTCGATAACCTTTTATAGCATGTTTATCTATTGTCATCAAAATTCACAATATCAAATAAAATTAGTAGATATTGGTAACTACATGTAAGTCCTTATAATTGAATAAAGTAACATTCATTTTTAGTGGAAAATTGTTTAAACGTTAATTAAGCTGAAATTAAAAATTGTTTCCTAGCCCCTCCTTGTTAATTTTACCAACATTTCATCATTATGGGGAGATAATTTTCATATATAGTCTTATTCATAAATGTTCAAATGCTTTATATAGGTTCTAATCATAATTTCTCACTAAAGCATTTGCCATAAGTTTGAAGTTTCTAGAATACAGCGATGGTTGTGGTGTTCTGTTTTTTTAGTTTGCGCGTATGTACATCTTGTGTGTGTTTGTGTAAGGGGTGTCACAGCATACATGTATTTGTCTTTAATGAATCAAGTAATGCAACTATATTAAGGCAATTTGTCTGCTTCATTTGAATTCTGACATTTCTGACATAATTATATACACCATATTAAAACAATGAATGCTTTTACAAGTAGCAGGATCAATGCTGTTGTATGTTAGATGATGTGGACACAATTTAAAACAGTGTATCATTGACAGCAGATTGACTTCAGGTGTCTATTAACAACTTGTTCACCTCAATGTGTTACCTCATATTATAAGTAGACAGTAAACTGTATCTGTCTGAGGCAAATGCACTATTATAGTAAATTGCCTCACTAAACAAAAGCATCTTGTTAGTGAGTGGGTTACGAGCGATCGTAATGGTCGGTGTAATTATTTCTTATTGACGATGGGAGTTTTTAAACCTTAACTTCTATACAGTCCTCGCACGGTCGGTAGGATTCATTTCTTGTTTGTAACTGAATAATACTTAAAAATTTATGAAAAGTTCTTTATATATGGTATATAATAATTTAAAACGTTTCAAAACAAATTAATAAAATTATATGTATACATCAATGTCTTTAATAAACCAAAAACAAAAACTGAAATCTATTGAATTTATAAATTTTGTATTTATTTAAAATTAAATCAAATTACTATACATAAATATAAAATTATGAACCTGTTCAAGGGAGACAATACTTACAAAGCTTCAATTGACTTTTTTCGAATTGGAACATAGTACAAAGGAATGTCATTCAAATGACACATCCATAGAATTAATTAACACCGCATTCGTGCTCCACCTTCAATGAAGATTCTAAATTATCAATACAACCAAAAGTTGTTAATCTATAGGATAGTGACGACTAATGACATCAAACCCACAGTAAAGAATATTTGTTTGAATTTTTTTTAAATTTACTCAGAAAAATGCTCGAACTACTTGACTTTCATAGCTCAAAATTAACGTGTTTACACATTAATATAATAGGTATAAAACCACTAATTAATAGCCCCGTTGCTTTCTATGTTAAATACTGCAATTTCATAATATATATGTTTCATTGGTTTCAGTCTTTGATAATTTAAAAATTAAAACTTCAGGTATAATCTTATTTGTGTGTATGCTAAATGACCAACATGGCTGAAATACATTATTGTAGCAATTTGAGGGCTGCAATTTGACACCAACATAATTGTTACATAAAAAAATAATGTAACATGATTTCTAACAACATATGTGACCAATTTTCATTGTAATTGGTATGGTTTCTAATAAGTAGAACTTCACAATCATGCCTTTCAGTAATAGGTATAAAACCACTAATTAATAGCCCCATTGCTTTCTATGTTAAATTCTGCAATTTCAAGCATTAATGGCTACTTTGTCTTAAGTTCAAATAAAGCGGCAGTTATTTCAGGTAAAACTATGCCTTATCCTGACTTGTGCTGAAAAAATCAACATACCTTTAATTACATAGAAGAGCGTACTGGCTCCCGGAAGTTTGATAGTACAAAAAACAGGTACTTCTGATCTGAACAACAGGGCAAATGTGCCCTATTAAATTTTTATAAACTTCTTGAATATTCAAAAGACACTTTCAACAAGGGTTCTACATTGGTCCCAAGTGCCCAAGCTCTCATTTGATACCAAAACTACCCAACTATTTCAGCTATTGACAAAGATACATCTATGCGTAGGAAATATTTTGTTTAAAATATGTACTACTTTCTTGTATGTTCTTTCCGACCGGGCCTGAATTAGTGGTTCTATACCTAATATAGTAGTTAAAGATTATTTGCCCCTCATTGTATAAGACGCAATATAGATCGTATGCTTGCATCAACCTACCCAAATACAGATTTAATTAAAGCCTGAACATTTTGAAATTGTTTATTGTTTTTATCCGTTTTTGTTTTTTAATATTATCACAATTTCCTGTTAAGATCCGACTAAATACCCATATTCCGATATCGTCAGGTAAATACCATTCCTTTTTAAAAAGAAAATTATTCCAAAGTTGCAGTAGAAATTTATCTTAATTAAATTTAAATCTGTTTTGTTAAAACTAAATACATGGCATACAAGAAGCACGTTGATTATGTTAATAATGATTAATAACCATAGTCCAGGTGTGTTTAACTGGTAAAAAGAAAACCCTATTTTCCTTAAACTCGTGTGTTACTTATCTGGTGAATTCAAAAGACATTGTAATTTAAGTTTTGCAGGATGTTGTAATTTTCAATGGATGTTATTTAACATTTATTACTCTCTGACCAGTTGTGATCTTTTAATCAGTGTGCCCAAAGCAGGATGTATTACTTTATAGTTTACTACTAATGAGAAGAATTTTTTTTTTTTTCATTTCTTTAATTTTTTTTTATCCCTTTTTGAAATATATATACCCCGGTATATCCCAAATTATAAATAGGAATAGATATATTTCTGATATAAGTTTAAACAATTTCAGTGATTGTGTTGGCTGTTGTTACCTCATTAAAAAGATAATTACATTACTATTGTATGTAAACATGAAACCTAAGTAATTTTTATTTAGGAATTTATGAAAATCCAGCTAAGGCCCACCTACGGGTGCGGGATTTTCTCTCTGCATTGGTGGCCTTCGGCTGTTATCTGCTCTTTAGTCGGGTTGTTGTCTCTTTGACATATTTCCGATTTCCATCCTCAATTTTATTGTTTGAAAAAAAACATGCCAAACAAAAAGGACCTTAAGAAGGTTTTATTAACCTCAGTATAGGTGTGGTTTTCAGGTAAAGGAAAGTCTTTTTATCAAATAGACTTTAAAATTAGATAATTTAACTTTTTCGATTTGATAAATCTAAGAGAATCATGTAAGGATGTAAAAATCTGTTTTTACATATATCTTTAAACAAAATTATAAAAAGTAGATGTTAATTGGTCAAGAATGGTTTAGACTGGTCGAGTATTTGTTCAGACCTGTGGTCGAGTATGGTTTAGATAGAAACAAATAGGTCGAGAGCTGGTCGAGTACAGGTCGAGAATGTGTTAAGACTGTTTCAGACTGGTCGAGTAATAGTTCAGACTATTTTCAATAGTAAAAATAAGGGTCAAGTACAAATCAGTACAGTCGAGTATGGTTAAGACTGGGTCGAGTAATATTAAGTAAAATTCAGACCAATTCAGACTGGTCGAGAAAAAATCAGTACAGTCGAGTACAGATATAGGTCATTTCAGACATTAGAACAAACTTTAAAAATCGTTTAAAATAGCTTAACAAATCGACACAAAATCTAAGTACACATCCAACATCTAATGTATTCAATGTAAAGGCGTCATTAATCTGCATATATTAAATGTAAGCGATGTTTAAAATTAGGTAAATGTAATTTCTCTCAAAGCTAGTTCCAATAGAAAAAAATGTATTTTTAATATATTACATCTTTTCCATTTCAGAGAGAAAAAGGGCTGGTTTCAGGTTATACGGGCTAATTTTTTATGCTTTACTGCAGAATCAATATTACACTGGTGCCAAGCAGTTTATAGAGACTGGATTTGTATGTTTTACAATGATACAAAAATGTCATCAAAGATATAAGAATTATGATTGTTTACATCAGAAGCGGGCTTCGTCTCCATAAATTCAGTAACGCTCGAATCAGAAAGTTAAAAGGCCAAATCAAGTTGAACAGCATAGAGAAACCAAAATGCGAGAGGTTTTTCAGCAAATTAGACAAATATTTAAGAATATATAAACTTAAATATTTAGTTTTTGTTTTATTTGGTTTTGATATAAGGTGTATGGTTTTCTCTGCTGGAAACATAGTGCGTAACATCTGGTATGGACATCAATGCATTGATTAAGACGACTGTATGTTGTTTTATACCTATTTGCTGTGTTTTACGTGTAGGCAACTGCATCTTTATACACCTTATCGCTATTAAGTATGTTCGCTCCTCTGTTTCGAAATAACAAGGTTTTAAAAGACTGTTATAAATTGACAGAATATGAATAAGGGAACCTAAAAATTAGAAACAAATGATAGGTCCGTGTTCTAGTTTTTAAGATATAATCAATTGAAAATTTGGCGGGAAATGTTTCTATCTAGTTTTTTAAACATTTAATATTGACACCTTTTCTCTTCAAAAGCTATGAAAAAATAACAAGGATTTAATTATATTTAAAAAATGACTTTTAAAACTATATGCAATAAAATTGTGAAAAGAAAAGTAGGGGTCAGTGGGGAAAGTTTTTATTTACATGGTAAAAACTAGAGGATTCCGAATATCTGAAAAAAAGTCAATAACTAGAGTAGCGTACATTCTTAATGCCAATTCGGATAAGTTCTAAAATTACACAACTTTTCCAAACCAGTTGAAACTATCTGGGGACTTTTTCAAAAAATACATTGTGCATTTATCTTTTCATCAAGACATGTTAAAACCATCGTAAACACATCAAACAAAGCATTTTTAATTACTTTAATTTGTCTTTAAAAATTGCTTCATAAACTATCATACTTTTTCCGTGCTCAGCTTGTTGCTGAAGACCTTTGTTTTTGCGATATTTGACCCAAACAGGAAATTGTCTAAATGACTGTTTTTTTCTAGAATTGACTAAATAATGATAAGTTGTAATCTCCCTATGATCTACTTGAAATTACTGTATAACATTGCATATTCAAAGGAGTTTTAGTTCTTTCTCAATTGATCTTTGAATGTTTATATAACATGGACACAGCTGATAATATTTAAATATTTAATGTCCTTACTGATGAACCACATAATACATTCGAGTTCACTCTGTGTTACTCCAATCACTTTCTGTATATAATAACGTTCATTTATCAGTCTTTCATGTTTTAAAATAGGTACGAATTCATCAGATCTTAGTTGGCTCAGCAATTTTGCAAGATGTTGCGGACGATTGGAGAACCAGTCATTTTCAGCGAAAAACACTACAGAAACTACAAAAGTAATATAAAATCATCTGAACAAAACCTCTATCATATACACATTTTGAATGCTGAAAGCATAAAAAAAAATATGATATGTGTGTACTGTTTTTGTGTAATTTTTTGTTAAGGTCGTTGTCTTTCCTTTTTGGTCAAGTTGGTTTTTGTTTTTATTGTCCCCGTGGTAATTTCACATTTTTTTCTAATAAATAATATATAATCCGTATCGATTCACATAATTTGCAGCGAAAAATTTGCACTACAGAAACTACAAAAGTAATATAAAATCATCTGAACAAAACCTCTATCATATACACATTTTGAATGCTGAAAGCATAAAAAAAAATATGATATCTGTGTACTGTTTTTGTGTAATTGATGTTTAGGTCGTTGTCTTTCCTTTTTGGTCAAGTTGGTTTTTGTTTTTATTGTCCCCGTGGTACTTTCACATTTTTTTCTAATAAATAATATATAATCCGTATCGATTCACATAGTTTGCAGCGAAAGTTATCTCTGAGTATCAACTGGTATTGTTTAAAAGTATAATGTCAATATGCTTGTAGCGCTTTTTATAAAATATCACTGTTAAAAGCCACATGCACGATCAAAACTATTAATGTTGGCATCCTAAAATTTGAGAACAAGGACAAAAACAAATTCCTTGAAATTATTATAAGTGAAAATAACGGTTCTTGTGCTAAGACCGTTCAGCACTATCATAGGTACATTCGTAGTCGAAATTGATAAAAACCCACTCGAAGCAGTAATTAGCTGAACGAACGTTGAAATATTCAATAATATCGCTTCATGAATTACTATACTGAAAGTGAATGATCAATATTTTTTGGGACAATCACAGTCACTTTATGAAAGCGGTTTTGTTTTTTATTATTTCAAAAGAGGGGCAAAAGATGCCAGAGGGACATTCAAACTCACAGATCGAAAACAAACTGACAACGCCATGACAATTGTGCATCAAATTCTATGTAGAATTTAACAACGTTTAATTTTTAAATATTCATCAGGGCTTTCACAGAGCGTGCAATTCAAATTACTGGCTGCATGTATGATGAACGAAAGAAAAAAGACCAAAAAGCTACAGTCGACAATAACAATAAAGAGAAAGCTGTCAAAGAACTTGGAGACCCAGTTTTCCATGTAGGTAGAATTCTGTTGAATCATGGATGTCTAGGTGATGCCATACAACATCAAAATAAAACATTCATGAATAGCAGAACTGTTGTAAAAATTCTGAATAGAATGTGGTATGGAAAACCAGAACTATCTTTTAGCCAGGTAATTCTAATGTATCTCTTGTATTACAACTTACAGCATTTTGTATAATCCTAGGTGAATATAACTGCTGGAGGACAATTACTGTAAACCAACTTATTTTTGCGAGCGATTTATTTTTCGAGACTTTCGAGAGTAGAAAACTAACGCGAATATAAATTGTCGCGAAAATGTTAAACTTGGATCTTCAATTATCAAACAACATCAAGTAAATTAGAAAATTGCGAAATTAAATAGCCGCGAAGTGGACTAGAAAGAGTAAAACGCGAAATAAATTATCCGTGAAAATAAGTTGGTTTACAGTAGTCTCCTTGTGTATCAGGGCAGTAGTCAATGTCTCGGTACTGACATGATTCATAACTTACATTTTCCTAAATGTTCTTTTTATAAATAACTAGTATTAAGAAACTAAAGTTCCAACATCCTTAGGCAAAGTTGACCTTAAATAGATGTGTCTATTATTTGTACGTATCTTTAGTATATATATATATATATATATATATCTTTCGTATTAAAAGACTAATAGATCTGTGGTTTTTTTAAATTTGCTTTGGTTCTGGATGAAGGAAAACTCAGAAAAGCTATTCGTATTTATTGATATAATCACTTTTTACTACTCTGATTACTGTAATTCAAAAATGAAATAACTTGAAATTGACTTTGTTATTTAGTTTTTATTGATCTGCTGACTTTTATTTTAACATTCAATTATCAACATGCGATACATAACTATAATGACTTCAGCGAAATATGCCATGCATGAATTGGTTGTGTCGTCAGGTATAGTGCCTATAGAAGAAAAGAAAAGTTTTTTAAGTCCTAATTTTTATTGTAAAGATGAAAAGGCTATATATAATGTTATTAACTAATATTCTTTTAAGTATAAAGGCATTTTGAATGTTTTCAACATTTCTAACCTTGCTTAATAACATTTTGCAACTAGTTCAAATAATTATGGATATATAGTCCTAGTTTTGTAATTATTTACTATGTTTTACCACAAAATTTGAATTTAAACCCTTTTTTTTTACGTTTCACATGCATTTCATAAGCGTGGTAATGAATTTGTTATAAACTTCTACGTGTTTGAATAATACAAAAGTAAAACAAAACAGATAGAATACATTTAAATCTGTTTGTTTGTGTTTAATGCTACTTTCGGCTACCTTGAATATATCATGTCAGATTTAATAAGTGGCTGAAGCAGGAGAACATAAAGGGAATCGCTAACCTTCGACAGGAAAACTGGCAATCCTTGCAAATTAAGTTCATAGTAAACACACCTGCCACAAGTGGGGTTTAAACTCACAACCTCATAATTGACAAAGGTTATTTTAGTGATTAATATAGATTAACTTCATCTATATCTTAAACCACTCAGATGGTGAGCCCCCGCTTCGTTTGGATATAACAATCATAAAATAAAATCCTGATGCTATTTAGTAGTATAAAGCTTATGCTTTAATTGCACACGAGAATATAGTGACAACAAAATAATAAACTATACGAATTCCAAGGTCCATGATAATGCCTTGGGTGACAATTCCTCTTTTATTTTCGAAATAATCACTGTAACAAAATATGAATTGTAAAACATTCTTAAAACATGCATATTTACGAATGTAATATGCATGATAATAATTTCAAAAACACAGGATGACACTATGGGGACATTTAGAGGCTATGTTGTCACGAAATAGAAGTTTCTTCCTATATAAGTTCCAAATGGAAAAAATATTCTGGAATATCATTTCCACTGGAATAAATATTGCACTATATGTTTCTAACGGAATAAATGGTATAGAGTATTTGTTCCAATAGGAACAGATATTATGACATTGTTTATAACAAAGTTTCCAGTAGAACTTCTGTTAGGCGGAACAAATATACATTGAACATTTCTTCTTGATGATGATCAATGGAACATTGAAAGCCACAATAGTTACCGATTATTAAATTTATAAAATCGATTTAAAAGATACACATCTTGAGTGTAACCGTCTCCTGCTATGCATGCACCAACTGCCATACAAATACAATTTCAGTCAAAATCTCACAATCAGGAACACAAACGGTTAGATTGAGTTTGTAAGTACGGAATGATGAACATGTGTATAGTGATACATGACATAAATATTGCTTGGCATTTCCAAAGAGTACACAATTTCACTATCAGCTTTTAAGATTTTCATGGACAATTCTGAAGTGTTTTTTTTTTTATCGTTTCGCGATTAAATTTTTTTTAGGTTCAATAGAATTAGTAAAAAGATGGTTTGAAAATGAAAACTGCTTAATCTGTTAAGTATTCGGACGGCCGAAATTAATAAAGTGTTATTTTATATTTTTATCGTTAAAAAGGTTGCACTGTTTATCGTGTTAGCACTGTCTCACATATTTATTATGCCATTATTGATGGTTACCATGGAAAAGAAACCGCTACGATGGTAAGGATAAAGTGCATAATTAACAAAATATATAATTATAAAATCAAAAACATTACATGATGTTAGAATGGATTCAAGAAAAGTTTGCATGCCTTCTTCTATCAATCATTTAACACACCCCGCTACCTATACTATAAAAAAGAGATATATATGGTACATAACTTTAAGATAGCAACCCAACGACAAAACTAAAAGACATATTTGCTAACAAATGATTTTAATTAGGCTCGGAAATATATAAATGTGAATAGGTTTATTTTTATGCATTGTTTTGTTCCTGTATACAATTATTTCATTCGTTGTTTTATCATGTACGGGTATCAGTATTGGGTAAACCATTTTTTTAATTGTAGCAGCTCTGGGTTCATGTCTTGGTACTATGTTTTTGATTTTTAAAAATCACATCAGTCAAAGTTTTGATTTTTTTTTTATTTCCCTACAATGCTTGTTTTTCAAGACGACGTGCAGTTAGAAAATTATATCCATGTAATTATTGTAGGTTGTGGATTTCGTAGATTAACGTAAACCACTGATTTAAGCGTTCAAAAAGTATAAAATTCCTGCCGGATTGTATGCAAACTTTGCAAAACCACGAAATTGAGTATCCATGAAAATACAATGTTTTTTCATCCACAAAAATTGATACTTATGAAAATAATAGATCCGCAGTATTTTGTTGGCGATGCGTTGTTATTACTTGAACTTCCTTACTTTTTTGTATCAGGCAGTACAATTGATTTGTCATTTTTGTATTAAATAAACATTTTGTGTGAATCCGAGGGGAACAATAGTTCGAAATGTAACTGAATGTTACTTATGTCAATTCAAATTTTGTGAAGCTCCTGCTGAAAAAATATTTTCTTATTCATATGAAGCTGATATTCTTTATTTTAGGTTTTATAAGAAATACAAGTTACCGTTCATGAAAGTATTAATACAAATGGTACGTTTAAAAAGAGTTAGTCGTTGATAATAATGGGGATACATGACAGTAATAGAAATATTTAATATGGGGCATTTCTGCCGCTACAATCCATTGTCATTTTAAATGAATAGTGCATAGACCGATTATATAGAAACTATACAAACAGAAATTCATAACACACCACATAAACAAAACAAGCTTTAGTATTGCGAACCAAGTTAAAACAAGGGAATTACCTAGTGGGCTTTCGAAATATCAACACTGCTCTGCTAATGAAACCACACAATCGACAAACGTTTTATTTACAGTGTGCTTTTAATAATTGCAAATCAAGCGTTAACATAGTTTAAAGCTTAAAAAATGTTTTGTTAAAAGCATTTGAACTACTTGTCCTGTTTTTCCTGGCCAAGGGTTTCGGTCTCTTCGACTTGTATGTTTTTAAATGCCTCCTCCTCTTCCTATATGAACAGTTTTCTTGTGTGTAAACGGAATGGAAGTGCTTGGTACGAAAAGAATGATCAGTAAGCACATATATCATTAATATAAAGGTCTAAGATGTGACCTTATCATTGGTCACCTTAATATGCTTGTATACCATCGATCCATAAAAGGGGTAATAAAGTTTACCACTCTCTTTTCATATATCCATCCTTCCGTCTTATGACAACCTTCCCGTTCAGCCTTTGTTGGTGGTTTCTTTTCACTTAATGATTTAATGTGACTACATGTATGTTTACTTTTCCTTTTGTACGTTTGAACATTGGTCATCTATGTAGAAACTTGAAATAAAGCACCTTTTATCTATCCATCCTTCCATCTCATGACAACCTTTAACTTTTTATTTGGCCTTTGTAGGAGATTTCCTTTCACTGAATAATTCAATGTGACTATGTTTAGTGATTATCTATCTTGATTAAACGAATGCGACTGATTAGTACTTGCTACAAAAAATTAATTATTCACAATGTTTTTGTTGTCATAAATGCAAAAAAAGAAAAATACTTCAGCTTGCAAATTTTGGACATAAATGTTTAAAAGCTTTTATCTGTTTAAGCATAGTAATTTACGTATTATATAACATTAATTGTATTATTTAAAGTATACAAAAATAACTTTTAGGATGTCAAACTGCTTATTTCATAAGAATGTAGTATTCACAAAGGTTGAGTTTTTAGATTCAATTATAATTCATTTGGCCATGAAACTGACGCTAAAATGAACTGCTTCAAATACTTAAAGGCACGTGATAGCAAATTGATATCAATATAAAATATAGATCATATATACTGGTGGTCAGCTTTAAATTCAAAGCCAACCAATCTAGGTTTATGCTTATTTCTTTCAGTTAGGATACGTAAGTCTATTGATAGGATATGCATATATGCTGCTGTTCAACTTAGGAGAAAATTTCTCATATACAGATTACTTTTTAATAGGATGGATGGCAAATTTTTTCCTTCACGAAACAAAGCAGGTAAAGAATGATAAAATTTCAGTACATTTGAAGAACAATATATCTTCAACGTGGTTTTGCATTAATAGTACTTATGCATTTCTACAAAAGAAAAACACTTATACATTTCTATAAACATGATAAAAGAAAGACGTCTCAATTTTGGCAATTAAAAGCAATTTTATCATTGATTCATGACGCCGAAATCATAAAATTGTATTAAAAACATAAATCCATTTGTAAACAAAACTTGCTGTTAAATCCCAAATCTGTGTTCCTAACAATGGTCATTTCAGTATCATAACAAGTTACACTTGCAACAATGAAATAGAAACTAATTCGAAATGATAAGTGTAAAATGGATTTGTCTTCAAAACGCTATTGTTTATTAGAGTATTCATTGTGTATTTTAGGTACTTGTTTCTGTTGCAAGAAACAGATTTGAAAACTATGCCAATGACTGGTGGAATCGTCTGGACTGGGTTTTGATGATAACTTTCACGTGTGGAATGGTTTTAAAATTTGGGGAAAATTCTGTTTCTAAAGATGCAGGAAAAATATTTCTGGTTGTTACTTTCATCTTATTGTGTATCCGAATTCTGAATATGTTTTCAATGTCAGAATTCGTTGGACCGAAGCTGATAATTATACAGAAGATGGTAAATAAAAATATCCATATTAATGATTTCAACGAAACATTGAGTCTACAAAATATCAAGTTAAAAGAAAGGACGTAATGTTGATATAAATAGTACACTCCTAGCAATGTCAAACTTGGACAAATTTGATTTTTTCGTAATAACCTTCATGTTTAATGCTATCAAATATTTTACTATGTTGGCTTTTCAAATGTGGATTTCATAATCAGTTGTGCATTAGGTTATTATATCACGCATTTTTGTTTTCTCTGTTGAATGGATTTGCGACTGTTTAGCACTTTACTTTAGTTTTATTATCGGTGAAGAGCATTTAAGTTAAGACAAGCTTTCGGGTATTCATTTTTGTTTTTATCATCGTAAACAAGAGACACGTTTTAAAAAGACATCAGTATGCACTACGTACTTACTAAATCTGAAGTTACGCAATGTATATATAAAATTAATCTATTTCAGTTTAAGGACACGTATGCCTTTATGACTATAATGATAGTTATAATGATCAGCTTCAATGTGTCATATTACTCACTATTGTACCCGAACTCTGAGTTGAGTTGGTCAGAGATAGAAAATATAATGAAAAATGGTTTTTGGATGTTGATTGGTGATTTCGACCCTGAAAGTGATATATGTATGTTAATGTAAAATCATATCATTTGAATCATTCATCAGAAGTTTTAGATTTCTAAGTAATAAAGAAAACAAAAATCTTAATCAACACAAAGGGTTGTGACTTATAAGCATGGGATACCAGTTTTAAATTTCTTTTATTATTTATTATTAAACAAAAAAAAAATTAAATCTTTTACTTGTAAAAGCTGGAGGTTTGGCTAGCCATGAAACCAGGTTCAACCCACCATTTTTTTCTACAAATGTCCTGTACCAAGTCAGGAATATGGCAGTTGTTATCTAATAGTTCGTTTCTATGTATGTTGGCGTTTGTTTTTGTTGCACTTCTTTCTGTATTCTTCTTACAGTTGATGTGTTTCCATCGGTTTTAGTTTGTAACCCGGATTTGTTTTCTTTGAATCGATTTATGACTTTTAAACACCGGTATTTTACTGTTACAGTTGCCTTTATGTACCATATTTTTTTTAACATAGTAAGCAATTATTTTCAACCTGCAATGACTGTCAATTTGCCTAAAACGAAACATCCTACAATACCAGTTGCATTGTTCATACGATTATTTATGTTTTCGATGATTGATATTAATAACGTGTGGGTAGCTTTATATGATTTAAAGCGAAAAAATATTTACCAAGCTGGATCATAACATTTGCTATTGAAATATTGCATTGTGAGATGACATTTTCCGTCATTTAACAGGATAATAATACATTTTCCCTTTCTTTATAGCAGATAACTTACCAAAAGTATAGGACAAATTACGAGAATTCAGGAATCTTAATAAATTAGCCAATCAGTATTAAATTTTATCTTGCGCAGCTACTTATCTACGTTTCAACAGATTTAAATATCGTCTACGAAATTTTCTTATACAAATTTGTTTACCTCTTCATCGGCACTGAAAATTTATCATGGGTCTATATAAAGTTTTTTTTTATTATCAATGCTAGAAGTCATTGCCACAATATTGGATTTTTGAACAATTTGTCCATCTGTTTTAATCAACAAAATCGACAAAATGTTTAAAATTTTGTTTGAATGTTGTGTAAAATAAAAGTTTATAATTAAACTGTTCCATACATGTTGTTGTCGGAAGCTAAAGTTGCTAAACAATCATTTTAGGAAAAGACTCAAAATTTTTGAAATAATCTTTAACGCAGATTCAATACAGAGCAAATTGGTCAAACATTATTAGTTTAGCTAATAATAGAAATGCCTACACTGTCTTATTTTGAAACGAAAACGATAGAATACGACCGCAGGTTAACATTTCAGCTTAAACAAATTTGTTTACGACATATTTACAAAAAAATGTTTCAGTGAGAGAAATTAGTTGTAAATTCATTCAAACTGTATATTCCAATGGTGGGTTCAGAAGATATCCTGAGACTCTGGGTCCATACTTGTCACATATAACTTTTGATTTCCAGGTTAAAACGACATTTTACAACCTCAGGTTACAATTTCAGCGTTTATATTATTTTGTTTTCATCCATACTTTAAAAAAACGTTTCAGTGAGAGAACCTGATTGTACTTTTAACAAAACTGCATATACCAATGGTGTGTTGGGGAGATGCCCTGAAACGCTGGGTGTATACTTGTCTCCGTATGTGAGGGCCATTTATGGACTGATTGCCATTGTTTTGATGTTAAATTTACTGATAGCCATCTACAGGCAAGTTTTTAAATCTTAAAATCGTAAAATTACATTTACAGTTTCGTACATCCCAACACATGCAATAAGAAAATAAAATCATAGATTAGCATATGTTGTGTCAAACAGCAACAGACAACCACTGTATTTCATATCCTGGCTGGACATGTTAAAATCCGAGTAATAACGATGAAGACAAAAACGTACAAAACAAATAAATGCATAGAAGCATATATTTCATGAAAGTGTGTATCACAGACATCAAAGTCACTAGGATATTCAAACAATATTAATGGTTTTCTAGTTTATCTGACAAACCATTGTTACAAACGAGTAAGACCTTTTTATATATTGTTGACTTTTCCTTCTTGGATTTAAAAATGTATACTTTTAAAATTTGTTTAATATGATAATTTTCACTATGATGTACTATAACAAGTCCATGTTTGTTACTATTTACTGTTACAATGGAAAATAGTTAGTAAAAATTTGCCAACTGGTCTTATTGTTAGGCATCACACAATGGCGGATTTATTAATTTCTCTTATGTAACCTGAAAACATTACCAATATTCAAATACCTGTCGATGCATTTAAATTCTTCATCCCTTATACATTTACAGAAAACAAAAATTTGCAAGAAAACGTTTCTGGATATAGGAAAGACAAAACTGTTACTTATAGAAACGAAACATGCATTAACAAAAAATAAGCGCTATTAAAACAAATATCACATAAGAAAAAGGACTAGATTTGACATTCTGAAATTAATCTATGGTAATTTTTTTTTTCAACCTACATCATAAAAAGAAATATGTTCTATGTGTTAAGGAATGTAAATTTTTTACGCAAAATACCCTATTATTTAAATACCATTTTAACTATGATGTGTATACTATGTAAAATTGAGAATGGAAATGGGGAATGTGTCAAAGAGACAACAACCCGACCATAGAGCACACAACAGCCGACGGCCACCAATGGGTCTTCAATGCAGCGAGAAACTCCCGCACCCGGAGGCGTCCTTCAGCTGGCTTCTAAACAAATATGTATACAAGTTCAGTGATAATGGACGTCATACTAAACTACAAATTATACACAGGAAACTAAAATTAAAAATGATACAAGACTAACAAAGGCCAGAGGCTCTTGACTTGGGACAGGCGCAAAAATGCGGCGGGGTTAAACATGCTTTTTGAGATCTCAACCCTCCCCCTATACCTCTAGCCAATGTAGAAAAAACAAACGCACAACAGTACGCACAGTAAAACTCAGTATAAGAGAAGTCCGAGTCCGATGTCAGAATAGGAAACAAAAGAAAATAAACAAAATTACAATAATACATAAATAACAACAGACAACTAGCAGTTACTGACATGTCAGCTCCAGACCTCAATTAAACTGATTGAAAGATTATGTCTTCATCATATGAATATCAGGCACAATCCCTCCTGTTAGGGGTTTAGTATTATACCGTCATAAAATATATGAGAAGAACATAACCCGTGTCATGCCAACAACTGGTTTTAAAAATAAATGTGTTTAATTCCGATGCAAAGACCCTATAAGTGAATCAATATTAAAGCCAAAATATGCAATCTTTAATGACCTGACAACAGTATCGTAACTATATCCCTTCTTAATAAGTCTGTTTAAAGGTTTTGTTAGCTTTAGAGGTGAATACTGACATTTTTGTGCTTTGTAAAGAATATTACCATAAAAGATTGGATGTGAAATACCCGAACGTATAAGATGTATGTGTATATGTTTCCGAACCACGCTCGCATATACGAAAAGACTTTTAGTCCAAAACAACCCTTTGAAGACAAATTTATCCACATTTTTTTTATAAATTCGTATTGATTCTGTTGATGTGGTTGAATCAAATCTAGAAATATGTTTCTTACTCATTTCAGTGATACATTCGCTAAAGTTCATGAGGAGTCAGAATTTTACTGGTCACAGCTTCAAAACGATTTCCTCGAGGAATACATGTTAAAGACAATATTTCCTGTACACCTACAAATTTTTGCTATTCCTGCTTTTTTACTTCATTTAATCGGTTGGGTGTGTTTTTACTCTTACAATAAAATACGAGGCACTTACAGTAAAGAAACCAATGACGGCAATTATGTTGGAAAGCTGAATGCAAGTCCAATGTTTGTACGAGGTAATTTGTATTTTCGTTTCTTTAATTAGTTAACAAGGTTAATCTCTAAATTTTAACTTATTTTTAGGTTGAATTGTTTGGTCGTTTTTAAAATTTTTATATATATGCTTGGTTATACCGTTTATCTAACTTTATCGCCTTATCAAACTTAAAATAATAGACAGATAGAAGCAGAAGATACCAAAGTGAAAATCAAAACTCATAAGTCAAGAAACCAACAAATACGAAAAATGACGAAAACAAAGGTCCACAATACGCTACATAAAAAGACTAAGCAAATAAACTCATCTTAGATGACTAAAAATTGTGTACGTCATACGCACGCCTCATCTACAAAAGACTCATCAGTAACGCTGTGGTTGTAAATAAACTCATCATAGATACAAGGACTAAAATAGTGTACGCCAGACATCGGGCCAACCAAAACCGGGTGTTACATGTATGATCATATAATACAGAATTTATAAACAAGTATTTGCTCTAAAAGGAAAAAAATCCACCTGGAGGGTTATCATATAGAAAGCCGTGAAACGACGCTATGCATTGTGCTGTCTTAGATCACAAGACATTTGAATAGATCGTCTGAATTGTATTTATCGTTATATCCTTTTCGCTTTAAGGACCTTACTGACTGAAACTTGATTTGCATATTAGTCGATGCATAGCAAGAGATGGTTATCTTTTCGACAAATCCAGTCCGGTTAAATTTGGAGTTCATGCAATTCCCGCTGGGTTTTTATCTCTTTAGACCTTGTTTTAACATCCATAAATATTCGTTTCATTTTAGTTATGTGTCTAAATAAAATAAACCTATATATCAATTACAAATTTAGGCAACAGTAGCTTATCGATGATCAAATCTCATAAATCGACTAAAAACACACATTAAGGTATCAAACAAAAAGTTATAAAAAATTTTTTCTCGTAATCTATATTTCTAACCGAAAATGTGTTTTACCTTTTTGACAAATTTGCAATTTTCATTTTGAAAATTCATGATTATATTTGTCTTTAAAAAGCAATGTCGAATTATCATTGTCTTGTCATACGTCCTGTTTAAGGGAAAAATCTAATCCTACATGTATGTATTTGAAAAAATGTTGAAAATATTTTGATTTGTTTTTCCAGAGTTATAGGACTTTAACAGTCATATTAAAGGCAATTTTTCACATAGCGTGCACTAACTCCAGTATACTTAGCTTGTATCGATTTCCTAAAAACTTAACACTATTGTATGGATTGATAAAAGGTTCGATTATGAATATTTTCTAGTACGGCCTTCCAGGTATACGGGATTTAAGCTGTCATATTTAAGTAGTTTTTTACATGGTGTACGATTAATTGAGTATTATATTCGAAATGATTTACTGGAAACCTGTAATATACATAATTGTTGGAATTGGTAAAAGTAAGATAACCCTCGATTTAGAATATTTTCCTATTTTTTTTCATTCCAGAGTTATGGTACGTTGATTATCAGAATAATCGAAGGCATTTTTTTACATGTCATGCTTTACAAATGTAGCTTTAATATGCATGAATCAATTTATTACAAACTATGAACTGTTGTTTGGATCGGTGAATGTAAGACTTTCTTTTGATTTTGTAAATTTTCTGGTTTGCCGTTCCAGTTTTGTAATTAGTATAATCAATTGTCGTCATCTTGACATTATAACTGCCAGTTTTATTATACATATTTTAGTTTTTTTAACTCCTTTGTCTTTCTTTTATCATATATTATTTCATTGCTTTAGTATCGAAGTTTGTATGCAACTGGTATAGTTTTGATTGAGGTGCCATGACTGAGGAGCATACACAAGAGTATGAGCAGCTGGTTTTCTATTTTTGTTCAACCGCTATGCGTAAATCAAAAGCCATGTGGAAGGATAAAACATATGACATAGTATTTGCTGATATTATGAGGATTTGCCTATTTTTTACCAATTTAACAATTTTACCAGATTAAACTTCTTATACTTTTGCTCTTATATTCCTTTTCAGTATTTATATACAATGCAAATTTTGACCTTTTACTCGCTGCAACAAAAGAAGTAGAGCAACGCTGTGTAATGACATCAAGAGGGTAATGTATTTTTATTTATTCATGAGAAGGTGTTTTTGCTGTGCATGGACATGTTATAGTTCAGATTAATCTAATCCTGATGAATACCACAAAATTGTAGTCAAAAGAAAATAACAGCTGTAATGTAAACTATCTTCATTTCTTTTTTATATTAAAGAATAATAATTTATCATTTGTCAAAAATAATGAAACTAATCTGAGTTATTCAAATAATACATTTCTGAATCCACACAAAAAAGAATACTCAATTTAATAGACCCTCTGTTCTGAATGAAAATTGTGAAAAAAAAAGTTGTTACAAATTTGCGACAACTTTTTCTTGTGGTTGTATTAAAGAAACCGTGTATCCATAAAGTAGAACAGGAATAACGAAAAATACCTGACTGACCACGGTAACCATCAACAACCGACTGCAGGGATTCCTCCTTTGTTAATCAATTAATTATTTGGAATCTAAACATCCATTTACACACACACTTCGGGTCTGAAAAGATAAATATTTTGTTTCCACTTTCATTTTATTGTAGACATATATGTTGTGCCTATAATACATATAATGTGTTCCTTTCATGAAAACTTTACTGTTTTCCTTACATTTTGTTACTGAATTACCCCAACAGAAACGGAGAAACTATATCACTGTGTCTAAGATAAAGACGAAAAGACAAAGAAAAGTTTTTATGACGCAACACCGCAACAGGACGTACCCGGTTTATCCGATTTACGATCATATCCGTAAATGTCGAGAAAAATAAATTGTGTGTTTCAGAAAGACAGGTTATCGGGTTATGATCAAAGTAGTATTCTGTTTATTAAAAGTAAAAACTTAACTATGGCAAACGATTCCTTCATCTTTACTTTTATTCAATACGCTTGATATGTTATGGTTTGCTTATATTATACGAAATAACAATACTCTTATATCTAAATGATGTACAAAACATGCAAAATGAGCATTTCAAAACAATATAATGTCAGTCTTGTGCAGGCAATATCCGCAATTTATAAAATATCTAGCCAAAAAACTACTGATTTGATTTCAAAAGGTTGAAATAGGCGATTTGTTTGCAGTCAATTCAGTCATAGTATTATCACAACAACTTGAAAACATTCCTCGTGTGTACAAACAAAATACTAAATGTTCGCACTTAAATAAAAATATTACTGTTTTATTATCAGTGGTTATGTAGCCGTAAAGTAACAGTCAATTCGGAAAAATCACAAAAATACAAGATAATCCTGAACGTTCGACTATATACCTGAAGATAAATAAGATGAAAAATCAATTTTGCGCGAACAAAAAATATTTATACACTACGCATCTAGACTAATTATCTTCTCGCGCGCAAAACATTATCTTTGGCAACGATTTTTGTTATTCTTCTTTCTGACTTAAGTAAATAACGAATAGTCAAATTGTAATACCAAACGTAAGCTTATATGAACATTACATACCTTTATTACGAATTGAGAAACAAATACAATATCTTTATCATATTAATTTTCTTTTGGTAAGCCCAAAAAATCATGCCAAATTCGATTCCTCATTTCGTTTTATATAGTTCAAAATTGTTTCACCATTTAGGTGAATGACAGGGAAATAACCATGAACTGTTGGAATAACATAAACGGTACCAATTGTTCTGCACCAGATGCGCATTTCGACAATATATGTCTCATCATTGATGCTCGAGGCCATACTATTTGAAATTCTAAAACCTAATACAAACGTCTTATATAGAGCTGATAAAACCGTAACGGACTAAAAGTCAACACAAATTTGAAATTCTACGTTTTTGTAAACAGTGTGTTGTTATCTTTAAAGTGTGAAATGATTCAAATAGGAATTCTTCTTTCATAGGAAAATAAATGTAATGGAAGAAGATAAAATGGAGGTGAGTTTTTTTTATCGACGACAATGATACGTCTGTACCAACGTATATGTGGTATGATTGTCAATTACTCAACTATCCACCAGAGATAATGTAGATGTAAGCAACTATAGGTCATCATAGGACCTTCAACACTTATCAAGATATATACTAAGCTATAAGAGGCTCCAAAATGACAAAATGTAATACAATTCACACGAGCAAACCAACTGCCTAATTTATATACACAGTAAACGAACAACAAACATGATACAGAGAAACAAACGACAACCACCTAATTGAAGGCTATTGACTTGGAACAGATGCATACAGAATACGGCGGAGTTAAACATATTGAACCTTAACCCTTTTCCTAAGCTTGGGAAAGTGGTGTAACAGCACAGCATTAAAAAATGCAAAAATGACCCAACAGATCGACACAAAGCAGAGTGAAAATACTAATAAAAAGACTAAAGACACAAAGTACTGATCTAAGCGTAATCACAGTTACTTAAAGCTAGTGCAAAGCCAAGTACAACTGATAAATATATAATTTTTTTGAAGACTAAAATATCAATCAGTCCACATCAAATGGACTAATGGTGTTGCCGTCAAAATAAAGGGATCAATCATTTAAAGTTTTCACTTAGAAAGTTTTCATTAACGTAACAATGATATTATATTTTTCTGAATAATTTTTGTAAAAGTTGCATCATAACATATATATTAATTGCATTCAAATTAGGCAATGACAGTAAGTATGAAATTGAACGTAACATAATACAACAACTTTCTTCATCCTCCAATGATAAATTTAATATATATTTATTTAATTATTTAATCCTAACTGATAAACATGAAACAATTTGATGAAACAATAAAAAGAGCATGAAAGTGTATAGAAATGAAACTACACGGTCAAATATAGCAGTATTTTTTTTTTATATTCAGAAAATTTAACAAGGTACGAAAATATACAATGCTTATCAGACAAAATATTTGTTAACAAAACAAATAAGCAGCTTTTTAACAAATAGGACAGTAATTTGAATACGCATCTTTTGCAAATCAGAACATTTAATACAATAATCATGTTTAAACTGTTACCAACTGATATATACATATGATATTAACACCAGTCGGTATATAAAATAAGTAACCATTGACAACAAAACAATAAAGTCACTATCATCATTAACACTTACTCAAATTCATTATCAACAAATGTATAATCAAAGTTTCATCAAATTTCGAAATTTCAAATATCGTAGACACAAGTTACTGGCAGAACATGCCTGTTAATTTAATCCTTAGAACTGAAAAGCCTATAATATAGGATTCACACCCAAAGTCTTGATTTCCTTATTTGATTTGCCCATTTCAGATGCATTTGGTGCAGTACAAATATTTGGAATAAACATTTTTGCAAAAATGATACTATAGTTATAAACCAAGGCATTTGTGTTTTGATTATGTTTGAAATGAAATTTTTCATTTCAGTATTCATAATACATTCAAACAATCAAGCTAATTAACGTTGGTTGATTTACAATAAAAATGTTTTGATGTAAAAGCATGAGTAATGGAGCATTATTTACATAATGTTAATTTCCTATTTTTATCTCAAATTTTGATAATTTTTCATTGTTCACATGGACCAGTAAATGGCCATTGTTATAATTGAATATTGTACTATGAATATTTTCTTGTACAAAATCATCACACGAAAGGGTTATGCCTTTCTCTGTCTCTCTCTTAGATGCTTCTTACTGGTACTCATTGGTGTTAATTCTTATGAACATTTGCTTCCCTAGATTTTTTTAATGTCTTGGTGTCATTGTCCTCTATTTAAGGCAAGTACGATCTGCTTTCCCGTACCATTACCGCTATACGGATTTTCCTGTACACTTTGCATGTAAATCTGAAAGACGACTTTAACATAAATATAACAAAGAATATTATACAAGTAACAAGCTCTGGCCTTTGTTAGTCTTGTATGGTTTTTTTAATTTTAGTTCATTTATATGTTTTGGAGTTTTTAAATTAGTGTGACGTCCATTTTCACTGAACTAGAACACAAACTTCACATAACATAGTGATATATGATGCTTAATTGAAAATTATGATAACATGTTACTCTAACTTGATCTAAGGGAAACAGATTTAAGAAAACAATAAAATACTGAATTTTGATCTAAGGGAAACAGATTTGAGAAAAACGATGAAATACTGAATCTTGATCTAAGGGAAACAGATTTGAGAAAACGATGAAATACTTAATTTTGACCTAAGGGAAACAGGTTTGAAAAAACGGTGAAATACTGAATCTTGATCTAGGGCAAACAGATTTGAGAAAACGATGAAATACTGAATCTTGATCTAACGGATTCAGATTTGAGAAAACGATGAAATACTGAATCTTGACCTAAGGGAAACAGATTTGAGAAAACGATGAAATACTGAATTTTGATCTAGGGGAAACAGTTTTGAGAAAACGCTCAAATACTGAATATTGACCTAAGGGAAACAGATTTGAGAAAACGATGAAATACTGAATTTTGATCTAGGGGAAACAGATTTGAGAAAACGATGAAATACTGAATCTTGATCTAAGGGAAACAGATTTGAGAAAACGATGAAATACTGAATCTTGATATAAAGGAAACAGATTTGAGAAAACGATGAAATACTGAATCTTGATCTAAGGGAAAGAGATTTTAGAAAACGATGATATACTGAATAACGTAGTAATCAGATAAAATTTATGTTACATTTCCCTATACTTTAAACTCAAATTTGTAAGAACAATTATTGAATACTTTTGAATTTAATAGGAAAGACATAATGACTTACAAAAAGTAACCTTATCTTATTTGAATTCTTTACAAATTTTATGATCATTTATCAAAATCTGAAAATATGGCACATTTAATTACCTTAAATGTCTAATCAATTTAAACAGCGTGGATATCTTGTTGTAATACAGAACATTATTTTAAAAACTATGAACTGCATGTAATTTCCTGCAAGTAATGTATAAATTTTAGGCTTGTTTGATATTTTTAACAAACGATGCATTATTTTTTTGAATAGATATATTAATTGAATTATCATCTGAGCTATGGTCAAGGATTACGGCTGTCTGCCTGAATATAAGAACCGATTGCATATTATTCTAAATTTAAATCAAATTTGCAAAGTATAAATATCTTAACAAATTAATGTTTGTCATTTACATAGGAACTACAGAGACAAATTGCAAACATGAACAGAAAATTAGAAAAGATAAATGAGAAGACAAATAGAAAGAATGGAAAGGTATAGTGGTTTATTATAGGAATAGCTTGTTTCTTTTTTCTAATTCTTAAACACAAAGTCCCGTTATTTATAGAATTTAAGACGTTATGTAGTATGTATCCTGTGAAGTTTAGGTGGATTGTGTATTTATATACAGTAGAGTTTGAAGGTATAGGGACTTATAACTTTATCTTTGTATCTTTGATCAGTATTGTTATTTATTTTTTCCATTGCTGAAGCATGTAAATGAGATTCATTCAACGTCATCTTTTAAACAGGAAGAACAAAAGCAAGTGGAAAACGAAAACAGAAATTTAGAAGCGACAGGCAACAAGATGAAAAAGACATATGATAAGGTAAACTTCTCAGAAATGTTTTAGATAATTTATGAAATTTGTAATATTGTATTTATTTGTCCTCCTTGAACTGATGTATTGTAAGATTTCAAGAATCAATCGATCGGTGTACGTATGATCACCATACAAAACGAAAACACCACATTATAAATTTCATGCGTCCGAAGCGCTTTTCTCGATTTACCTTCATCATGCAGGGGAGTGTAAATACGTTGTTGTTTCTCAACAATGCTCTTTCTGGTAGAGGTTTGCTGCAATGCATCTGTTGCAATAACTTCGGAAAAAAACTTCGCATTTATTCTAAAGCATGAGAGTTCTTTTGAAAAATTAAAAATTTATGAGGTATAATTAGGGTAAATTACAAATTTCAATGTACAATCCGCAAATTTGCAAGTTTCTGGTAGACCAATAGAACAATGCATTTTCTGATACATGCAGTAAAAGAGCAAATCATATTTTTGTTTTCTTTTTTTCTTTTTTTTATTTGTAGGTATTTTTTCTGAAAATATATTGCAAATGTTTTTAAACGCATTGCACTCATTTAACTGTTTTGTTTTCATTTTGTATTATTTGTTTTGGGGAGAGGGGTTATCGATTTCAACTCCTTAATGACAATATTCAATTCGTTTTAAAAAACTATTTGTGAATTGCAATAGCTAGGATAAGTTGGTTCCTTCATAAGGACAACAGTCTTCAATTATTTGCAATGAATTTGTAAAAAGAAAAAAGGTCGCCTTATCAGTTGTGTTTTGTAGACTGTGTTTTATCATTTCGTCGTTTATCGTTTTGAGCCATGACATCGTCAGTTGATCTTCGACTTATGAGTTCTAATACCCCTTTTGTATCTTCCCTTTTTCTCAAATCTTCTAACAATTAATTTAAATAGTAATAAGTTATGTTAAAAACAATCAGCAAAAATACTGTACCAAATTCAATTATTTTCAACTTTTATGGAATCATATAATAGTTACTGTTCATTATAGGATAACTGAAAAAGAGGGGCGAAAGATACTAGAGGGACAGTCACAGATCGAAAACAAACCGACAACGCCATGGCCAAAAAATAAAAAGACAAACAGACAAATAATAGTACACAAGACACAACATAGAAAACTAAAGACTAAGCAACACGAACCCCACTAAAAACTGGGGGTGATCTCAGGTGCTCCGGAAGGGTAAGCAGATACTGCTCCACATGTGGCACCCGTCCTGTTGCTCATGTTATTACAAATCCGGTAAATAGTCTAATTCGGTAGGTCACATTCGTGGTGAAAAAGGAAGTGGAGTGTAATTACGACATAAGAATCTGATGTTCAGTAGTTGTCGTTTGTTGATGTGGTTCATAAGTGTTTCTCGTTTCTCGTTTTTTATATAGATTACACCGTTGGTTTTCCCGTTTGAATGGTTTTACACTAGTAATTTTTTGGGCCCTTTATAGCTTGCTGTTCGGGGTGAGCTAAGGCTCCGTGTTGAAGACCGTACTGTGACCTAAAATGGTTTACTTTTATAAATTTTGACTTGGATGGAGAGTTGTCTCATTGGCACTCATACCACATCTTCTTATATCTATATAAGCAACATATCCGATATCATCTGTGAAACGGTTATTCCATAACGGTCAACCAACTCGTGATGGCGTCCGTAAAATTTACGAAGGGATGATTTCAACTTCAACATTTGGAACTCTTGGTTAATAGCTTCCTTGTGAATAGGAGTAATGAATGACAGATAAAACAAGTATTTTGCTCTGAGGACGTATTTATAAATTATATGGTTAACGTACAATGCTATAAGCTAAACTATATTTTTCAGACCATTATTTGTGAAGTTGACCGTTTTTACGTCTTTTCCTATAGACCAAAGGGAAATAAAAATCATCTTTTTTTAACTTTTTATACAGGAGCAAAAAGGTCAGATAGAAAATTTAAGTCAGAATTTTAGAGAGTTAAAAGACGAAACAACCCGGGAGAATATAAAGGTAATGTATTCTTATTTGCTCGGGAAACAGTTAGCGTCAAATTAAATTGCATACCATAATCAGTCTTCCTCTTTAAAGTACAGTTCTTCCACATGGTAGTATTGTCGTCCTTTGTAACAACGAAGCAAATTCTTGCAATGTGATCAAATACGGTACGGTTGCATGTTAAAAAAGTTGTTGCGATATGGCCATATGTTTTTTTTTATGAAATAGAGATGTATCTCATTACCAAAAGAATATTATTTGTGTCCATCGTTTAAGGTATCATATCCTCATGTTTACATGCATTTGTATTATCTATAGCGACATAGAGCGCAATATTTTGATAATGTAAAACATCGTTGACTAAAATGCCTTCAGTCTTAGTGACTTAACTGTTATAACATTATTATCATTTTTACCTGTTAAACACTACTTCTCATTTAGGAATTACATATTATCAATGTGATATTTTATCTATATGGAATGCTTCTTAAACCAGTAACAACATTACTTTCAATTTGAATTTCAAATAATATCACACAGTTGTTTGTTGTGGGCTAGCCACGAGTACGGAAGATCGTTAGTTTTGTCTCAAGCTTGAAGACTTGAAAGTTGGTATTTGTTGAACACTTTATCCAATCAGAAATACTAAATGTAAATTAAACTTTAAGTGTGAGTATTCTTTACCAAGTACATTGATTGAAATCATATTAACCCGGAAGAGAGCATTTTTGATAAGTGCTTAATTGATTTGAGCAACGGCTTAAGTCCTTTCCCGTAAGTTCGGAATTAAGTGGAATAGAATAGCCCGACATTCACATTTATTGCTTGGGGTTATGATTTTGTAAGCAATATAAAGTTTAAAATATGGGCTAATGAATAAACTAAACGTGACATTTTGTACTTTTTATTTTACAGATGATGAAAAAGCTTACGCAAATCGATGTTAGTTTAAATCGAATAGAGAAAATGGTAGGTCTCCCGTATCAGTGTCGTGCTACGCAAACTTCATATTATACAGTCAATCTGGATTTATTTAAGATTTTGTAATATTTTGTTTATCTGTAACTTTCATGATATTAAGAAGGCTACAACGTGATAGGTAATTCTTTACAAACACAACTATTTTATTCGTGCATTCTTGAATTAATTTTTTCTAAAACGCTACATCCTATCTCGACTTTAAAGAAGGCAAATGCAAAATTTGATGTCGAAAATTATTTGGATTTTAAAACAATTCTTCATTAAACTTAGAACATTTGTTGCATCTCCAATATTGAAATTTTGCTTATGTGTTCTTACGAATCCAAATCATAGTGATACCGACATTAGCGCAACTTTTTGTATTTCCTATTTTTTAATCAGTTCTATGAAAAATGTCTGTTCCAAGTCAGGAGTATGACAATTGTGTTCCAGTCGTTTCTTCGGTTAAGATAGTCTAGCGTTTGGATTATTCAGTTTAAATTGAATTCCTCTTTTTTAAATTTACTTTTGAGTAAGGTATTTCTGTTACTACTATTTTTTTCAAATTTACTTAAGAAAAGTTATTTAGGATTGTATGATTTTCGCTGTAAATTTTTTTTAACAATCTTAAACATGATTCCTAACGACTAGAAATGTCATGGAAGAGAAATCCGAATATATAATGATGAAATAACTTCAAACTGCCGTGATATCTTTTCTTACTAAAAATACGGTAATAAAATATTACAATAAAAAAGAAAACAACACGTTATAATTTTATGCGTCCGAAGCGCTTTTCTGGATTTACCTTCATCAGGAACGCTCAAAGCCGAATATGTGAAAGCCAATGTTGTATAAGAACCGAAACAGTTAAAGAGCTATATGCCCAAAAAGGACCGTAAAAAAATAGCAAATTCCATCTAAGGTCAACTTTGCCTGAAGGAGTTGAAACCTTAGTTTCTTATAATTTCAAAATTTATTTACGGACAATTTTAGAAAGATTTGTTACAAATCATGTCAGCACCGAAGTACAAAGTACAAATACTCATAAAACTGTCGTTCATGCCAATTAGTAGTACATGTATACGATGAACCCGGTTTTCGTGTAAAACATTTATAATTCTGCAAGAAAAAGAAATATCCTAATAAAAATAATGATCTGATGAAAATAAAAGAATATTATGTTTCATGTACAAGTCACAACTCAACGGTGTGTATACTTTTTGTTATATGAAATGTGATTAAAATTACATATTCTTACAAAATATTAATCAGTGATGTACTATTTTGTAATAATAACCATGATTTATAATCATTTTTATTAGATAATAAAAGCGATTGATCCTTTTTAACAAACTTTTGTCTTACTGTTAGTTCTATTGGTATCATTACATACTTTTTTTTTTGTTGTAGATCAAACAAATTAGTCCTCAGGAAAAGTTTCAATATCTTGACCCAATGTTCGAAAATGATGATAACGATGAAACTGAAGACGGTAAATATGATTAGAAAAGGGTTGCAAGTTAACTGTGTCTCCTATGTCATGGTTTTATATCTATTTAGCATCAAGTTTCCTTTTCGTGTTAACAGTGAATGCACACAAGAGCCATCTGTCTTGTTAAAAAAAATTAGGGGGGGGGGCTCAGTGGCGTAAAGGTCTAAGTAGTTCATTTACTGTATACATAGCCTGTCCATACTAAAGTGAGTTCCAATCCCGCATGTTGCAGATGCGTTCGACTTGACTATGATTGTCAGTTGTCCTGCCGAATATCAGTTGTTGTGTCTGGGCACTCTCGTTTCCTCTTCCAAAAAAAACTGAACACCATGATATAGCCAATAGTGCTGGAAGTGACGTTAAACATCAACAATCATTTAATCAAGTAAACTACATACCACTTAAGTATCGAAGATCAAATTCAGGTATTATTGAAGATTTTCAAATTCGGTTACCTCCCGTTTAACGACAATGACAACTTTCATAAAAACTCATTTGAGTATGCAATGTAACATGTATTTATCTTCTGCTCTGTAAGTTTTGTGTTGTTACTTTAACGTGCAGTGTTTTATTCAACATAGTTTTTGTGTTCTTTATTAAATACATGAAATAACTATTGTTGGTTTTTTTTCTAGTCAATAAAGATTATCTTAAAAATTCTATACAGAAAAAAGTAAATCTGCTGAGGTTCCACATGGAATAAATTGCGCTAAAATTTTGATAACTTCGGGATCATAGTTATTAATTAATAACGTTTGCGTTTAGACGGTTTACAATAGAAAATACCTTATTTTTGTAGTAACTAAACAGTGGATGAAAACAACTCTTCTTATGCATTCTACTTTTCTGAACATATTTTAAATTTAATAAGTTGGCTGTCTGAAAGTCTGACACACTAAGTTGTCTGTTTTGCTTGGTTTTACTCTCGCTGTTTATAGATAATAAATTAAGCTTGACTTCTACGATTATATTGTCAATTACATACACGAGTTGCAGGATCTCAATAACTATAAATGACTTCCAAGTCAAAGTCTGTGCTAATAACCCGTTGACATTTAATCTGGCTGGTCAAGTTATTACTGAAGACCATAACATTGTAAATACCACTTCTCTACGAAATGTGTTATCGAGAGGCTCGAAATATCGTCCATTAATTGGAAACACAACTTTAAAATACTGATATATTCAATCGAGGTTTATGCCAGGCTATGGGTTGAACGAGAAAACGAAGATGTGGATACTCTTTCCGAATGGGTTAAGGCTGTGAGGTCGATCGTTAAGACAAATTCTAATTAAAACCTGAAAGGGTCTGTGAATTATCAAGCTGCATTCATCATTAAAGACCTAATGTTGGCTAGGCACCTGTCCTCCCTCCGTGCCAAAAATGTTGTTGTCCCAAAGACCCAAACCATATTGTGTTTGGGTATAAAATTATATTACATAAACTGCATGATAAAGGATCTCAATATATACGCCGTAAACGCTTACAGAGGAGGAATTCCAAAATTGTCATGGGTATGATATATGTTCATCTACAATTTCAACCAAAGACGAAGAACTTTATTTACATTCACTACTTTGGATATCTAAATAACATAAGTATCCTTGTAAACAACGTTATATTGCTTGGACTTTCAAGTGCTACATGAAACCTCTTTAAAAACTATTAACATCAATGTTGTCAGCAATCAAAGCCGGTCTTCGTTGTTTTTTTTTTCTTTAAACTAACTAAATACAATCTAAGTCTACCCTTTACACAAGTTTTCTCCATTTTTTCTTTCATAACAAATTGGGCGATGTCGATTCATATATGTTGTTTTAAGGAAGGATAAGTCATAGGTTGTTAAATAAACCACTCTGATTGAAACAAAATAATGTTTGAAACTGCCATCATCAAGATACTCGGTTTTTTTTATTGGCAAACTATTTGTTACATTTTGAGGACGTCCCATGGGAACCAAATGTGCCCCACTACTTGTTAACTTCTTCCTTTATTTATACTTGGCAGACGTAAAATTGGAGCTTCTTAGAAAAGATTAAAGAAACGGGAATTGTCATCAACTTCACATTCTGTTATTTATATTAAGTTTTCTCACGATTTCAGAATTCCACATGTAATTTTTCCATTTCTATGTAGCAGCATTCCAGCAGGCCCTCCATATGGAGTATATATCTCCAAATTAATACATTATTTCAGATCTTGTGTTTTCTATCATGATTAACTTGATAGATTTTTGCTTATTACAAGGAACCTTTTAAGCCAAAGGTTCCATGTGGTGAAGTTGAAGTCATCCATTCAAAACATCTATGGACGCCATCACGATTTGATTAGTCGTTATGAAATATCTGTTTTATCAGATGATGATGGATATGTTTCAATAATGGTAACCACAATACTGTCTTCGCCTCCTTTACTCAAACGTGACATCACCGAATAAGACTTATCATCGAATTTGTACTTACATGAGAAACACAACGGGTGACACGTGTGGAGAAAAATCTGCTGACTCTTCCTCGGAGCACACGAGAGAACTCCCATTTTTTAGCAGTATTCGTGTTGCTCAATCTTTAGTTTTCTAAACTTGTGTGTCTCTTGGTGGTTTGGTTTATGACGTTACGTTGTCAGTAATCTTCGAAATATGATAAGAAAATATTTCCACTCGATATTTGTTTGTTTTAGTCTTTGGAACGGTACGTATCCAAATTTAAGGGTGACTTTCCAACAGCTAATCTTGATAAAAGTAACTGCAGAAACATCGCGTTATTTTCATAAATCCTACTTGGCCAAGTAGCCTAGGTTTTGAAAGCCTAGTTCCGTACAGGCTGTGTTGCTGTGAACGGACAGAAGCATGGGAACAATTTTGGCCTAGGAGAGAACATAAGTTTGCTATCACAAATCTAAGACTGTTGAATTAAATTTGCTACAAATATATGCAGCTTTTTGTGTTAGCCCTGTATACGTTTTTGATTATCTAAGTTTCATATTTAAAGACTAATAACTTTTAAAGTATATTGATGTGACAACATGGTGTTATTTTCCTCTTTTACTACTGACAATAATAGCTGATCTGCATAGAATACGATCAATATTCAATCTTAAATCATGTACTGTGTTACAACACTAGATAAAGAAGACGAGTACCAATTACTCGAATAACGAATTCTGTTGTATAAAGCCTAGTAGGTTTCGTTGACTAGGAAGTGGACACAGAGTTTCAATGATGTCAATGAAGAATGGGTTAAAATCCAAGAAACATTTTACAGTTTCTCCAATGCAAAAATAGCAGAATTTTGCTTTTATTGTTAAGTCATATTAATGTTTCATTTTCAAGTTATTCCAGTAATTTGATTTCTTCTTTTTTTTTTTTTTTGTAGCTACCCTTATGATTCCTGAACGGACATTGCCTCGTAATGACACAAAAAAAGACTGATATACACAAATGGTATTTTGCTTGCTTCAAATTGTAAAGTCGCAAGGACAATTACTGATATTTACTGCATAGCTAGAAATTATATGAAATGTATCGCAAATATTACTATGTAATAAAGTTTTACATTGAATATCGACATTTATTTATTCATTTTTATTTCATTGATCTATCCTAGTATTTCAAATGTTTAAGTTTGAGTATTCATGATGAAGGTAACCCAGAAAAGAGCTTTGGACGCACGAAACCTATTAAGTGTTTGTTTTATTTATGTTGAAGGTTCTGTAATGAAACAAAAACAGCAAAAAAACCCTAGGTATAAATGTCGAGAGGCACATAAACTGATTTACATTTTACTTGACAAAACATATATTGTATTTAGTAAAAATAAAAGTAACAAAAATACCAAACTCCAAGGATTCAAAACAAAAAGTCATTTATCAAATGACAAAATCAAAGGCTCATACACATCAAACGAATGGAAAACACGTGACCGTTCAAAATATAGAAATAAGAAGATTTGGTATGATTACAAATGAGATTACTCTCCGCTAGAGGCCAAATGATGTAGAATGTTAGCAACTACAGTTCATCGTACGGCCTTGCATCAGAAAATTGAATAACTAAACGACAATGAAAATTATTCAAATTGTTTGAATTGGTTATCTTAAGTTGTTTTCCTATGAAGAACACTTCATAACTATTTTTGTTCATTTTACCATTATTATATTTGCCCATATTAAATTAGGTATACAAAATAATTATCAAAATTATTAAACTCTTACGAAGATTGAAAAAAGGTGAAGTCCATAAAACCTGAAACATTAAACGTTAGACTATTTCAACCAAACAAACAAACAAAAACATCTCAATAGATCAACAAAACAATTTTGTGTAGTAGATAGTGCATACAAGATTATTTTTGTATATTAAAACATAATGCCATACTAGTAAAAAATTTTGAGTAGGGTGCTAACTAAATATGTTTCATAAGTATTTTAAATAAATTTATATAAACGTTGAAACAATATCCTTATATTACTAAATCTTATCCATAACCTTAAACCCATTGAATATTTTATCATTTTCCTATTTACAAATTAACATACCTTTATCGTGGTATGATTGCAACAATGATTGTGTTGTTTTCTGTTTTACTTTTCTTCTCTTTTTGTATTAAGCCACGAAGAATTCAATGAATTTATCGGAGGCATTTTTTTTACCCCTGTCCATCACACATACAAATTTTTGGTTTTTTTTAATGTACCACAAACGACAGGGTGTTAAACTTTATAATTTTTGGTGACACTACTCATTTGGTGTACAAGGTTGGTCTGGCGAAATCCTCCAACAATTGTCAAGCTAGAAATCTTATATTATGATGAGTGTTTGTATATATGTGAAAGGCGCGCATATTGACACGTAGTCTTTACATTTTACAAAAATGACAAAATGTTGAACTTAAAGTCATATTTAATGAAACTATGCATGAGAGTACTTGGATTGTCCGGCTAATTCCTTCTACAGTTTTCAGTGTAGATCTTTTAATAATGCAGTGTAAAGATAACATATACTTAGAGTGTGCATATTATCATGCTTTTTATTTCCTTCAAAGATTCAGCTAATGATAGAATAATGAACTTTGACATTTCAATAAATCTGTGCATACGGGATATACAAGGTAATTTTCATCAAATTTCCAACAAGCGCAAGCATGTCGATCTTTGTCATTTCTAATGAAACTATGACTGAGAGGGTATTTGGTTTAATCGAATAGTTTTAAAGCTAGAATTTTTTTAATTATGCAAACAAGAGGTAAAAACACCACAGGGACAATAAAAATCAGAGTCGAAAACAGTATGGCAAATAAGAACAACGGCGAAAAGACAAACAAAAGTCTGCAAAATAATACATAGAAAACTAAAGTCAAAGCAACGTCAACATGCGTACGAATCCAAAAAAAACGGGGGGATCCTAGGTGCTCCTGGAGGGAAAGCAGACCCTCTTCTATATGTGGTACTCATCGTCATAAAAAAAAACAGTGAAAAGTCTGTTCCGTCAACATCGAGGTTGAAAGGACATGATAGTGGCTAGATATCCGTGGACAAGTAGTTCGTACATATATTTTTATAGTGTTGTTATTATCACGATTTTGGTGTTCTTTAAATGTTCACTAATGACAGAATGTTGATTTGTTTGTTTTGAACGTTATAAATTTCATATTATAGTTATAATTGTCCATTTGGCTTCTATATTTTTGAGAAAAAACAATCTTAATATTCTATTTTTCAAATAATATTTTTTTCCTTGATGTATGTTAATATATGATATATTCGTACTCTGACTATTAATTTCATATTTTTTTGTCCATAATTAAAAGCGTTTCACACAAGGTCTCTATGTTAAGTTTATTTTTTGAAGTGTTGATTACCTGATGGAGTAAGTATAAATAGTGTAACAGCCTTCAAATAAAAACAAATAAAATACATGTGCTTTGAATGTTTGTTTTTCTGTACCATGTGACTTTGTATATTTAAATATTGGATGACCTTAACTGACCAGCAAACAAAATTAGATTTCATGTCATGTGATTGTTTTCGGAAGTACATTTTTTTTTAAATTGTGGGTGGCATTGTAATTCCTTTCTTTAAATTTGAGTAGGGGAGACAATAATAACAATACAATTGAAAGATTTTCTTCAGCCGTAAAGGTTTTTATTATTGTTACTTTCAAAATAAGAATTTTCTTATTTTCAAAAAAAAAAAAAAAATAGTTTATTTATTTATTTTTTTCCTGAACGGCTTGCTTGCAAGATGTGCATTTTTCAAATAGATAGATAACTAAATGTAGATTAATTTTATTCTGTGTTTTAATAAATCTTTTCAGAGCCTCTTTGTCTTGTTATGAAACTCACCATGCTAAAAGCAGGAATGTATAGATTTCACCGAGTGTGTTACGATATTTCTCCACTCGAGACAGTTAAATGTTAATATTCAAAGCGCGAGGCTTGCCGAGCTTTTTAAATAATTAAAATTTAACTATTGAGAGTGGAGAAATATCGCAATACACGAGTTATAGTGGTGGAAACTGTAACTTTAATGATTTTTATCCTTCCTTTTCAAAGATTTGCAGAAAGTTGTGTTCTTTTTATGTGACGTCATCATGTATTTTCGCCTTTTTTCATGATGTCACAATAGGAAATTCAGAAGAAACCAATTCAAACGTCATAACTAAATTTCGACCAATCATTTGCCGAGAACAGATATTTCACTAGTGAGAAGAAATATTTTTCTAACACCAATCATGAAATGTGAAAATAGCTCAAAAATTAGAGAAAGCTTGTTTATAGTCCTTTATTAGTTATAGAAATATTTAATCAATAGAAGACATAATTAAAAAAAATGTAAGGAATAAAATAAGATTTTAAAAATCTAGTATTAATTACTTCCATTTCTATAATCATCTATGAATATAAACAAGTTTATTTATAAAATGATACAAAATCAATAATCAAAACTATAAAGTGATGATCATTTTCATTGGTGTCCTTTAACATTTAAATAGGCAAAGTCACATGGTATAAACAAACAAACATTCAATGCACATATATGTTGTTTTTGTTTTGATTGGAAAGCTGTTACACTAATTATACTTACTCCATTAGGTATTCAACACTTCAAAAAATAAAATTAGCATAGAGACATAATGAGAAACGTTTTTAATTATAGACCAAAATTAGTCAGAGTTCGTTTATATCATATATTAACATACATCAAAGAAAAAATATTAATTTGAAAAAAATGGAATTTAAAAAAAACAATTCTGCAAATATATAGAAGTCAAATGGACAATACATAGTTTGAAAAGTAAAATACATAACTTTGAACGGAGTGAAAACCACCAGGACATAAGAAGTACACTTTTAGGGGTTTTCTTGTAGTTGTATCTTTAGTGAAGAAAAATTGAGTAGTTCATTACCTGAAATTATCATTCAAATAATTCAAACACCTCCTACTAGACGGGTGGTAACATATGGGATTTACAGTACCGCTATCAGTCCCAACCACTCAGTTGTGTATTTTGTTGGGTTTTTGTTCTTGCTTACTTTTACATCTTAACAACTACTTTTGTGTATAGCTTAGACTTATTGTATGTTTTAACTACCTAAATTGATTCCGTTTCTTCCACTTCTTGCATGAATATTTACGTTTCGGTGATGATACACCAGTTGTTACTTAGTATATTGATTAACCTTGGACTTTGAAAATTAAGATAAGCGGAATATACCGCAGGAATATTCAAACTCCTAAATCAAGAAAAACCGACAACGGCATGACATAAAAGAAAAACGGCAAAAAGACCAATTAAAGTTTACAAAACACAACATGGAATAGATATAAGAAGATGTGGTATGAGTTCCAATGAGACAACTCTCCATCCAAGTCACAATTTGTAAAAGTAAACCATTATATGTCAAAGTACGGCCTTCAACACATAAAGACTTTAAACTTAGCAATACGAACCCTCCAAAAACAGTGGGTTACCTCAGGTGCTGAGAAAGAGTATGCAGATCCTGCTTCGCAAAGGATTCCAGATATTACAGATACAACCCAAGGTTGTTATCATACGGGCACTGATTTCATAATACATTGTAATCCTAACCTTTTCACTATTTTTTTTCAACGAAAAAAATTTGTTTTCTGTTTAAGAAAGCTATACAATCAAGTAAAATTAAAATAACATTTAATCCGTAGCAGTGACATGTATTGTTTAACATCGCATGGACAACATTTATTGTAATACACTCGGGGTTTTTTCATCTCTGCATCAGTTATTTAAGTTATATATTGTTTCATCTGCTGATATATACAGTAAGATCTAGTAGCACACAACTTTTATGACTATTTGGATTATTTTTATTCATACATTTGTTTCTTTCACGAAATAAAATATTTTCAGAGTAGAAAACTGTACATTTTTCAAACAACTGATGCTAGCAACCTTTAAATTTGTATATCTATTCACTTCTCAAGGAGAGAACTCAATACATATAAACACTCCACTGATTATAAAATAGGATTGATGTTCGATACGCTTCTCGACTACACATTGTAACGTTTAATTTTTACATGCAACTATTATTCGTATCTTAGTAGCGTTATTGACAAAACAAATAACATATATGCTTTCAACATCAAGGTAAGACACCCTTAATGTAACTATTTGTGGTACCATTTTATACATTTGTTTTAATTTTTGTGCACAAAGACATGATATAAAACTAAAAGGGGTCGTTGATTTGGTGTACTATCATGCATATTGAGAGATTTGTATTATGGTTTTGGTACGCGGAAATATAATCCAAGACGTTATTTGGTATTTCAAAATACCACGGGTAAGGGGGTGGTGGTAGAGTACTTTGTTGTTTTTTTTTCGAAATCTGGAACTTTTGTAAAATATATAAAATTATTGAGACGTGGTACGATTGCCAATGAGACAACTATACACCATAAAACAAAGAACGCAAATGTCGACAACATACTATGTAGACATTTTAAATCAATTGTAAGACATTGTGTGATCCTGAATGCACCTTCTTAAAGTCCGTATTGGTTTACTGCAATAAAGAGCCACCATTAGAAGTTTGTTTTGCTCCAATTCATTCCAAGACTTGTTATTTTGAATTTGAATGTTTTTTTCCCATAACAATTGCAATTTACCAGGAGGTTTACACAAATATACAGCAAGAAATTATCTGTTATGTACGAAAACATCATTTATTTACTTCTAACGAAAATCAGTATTGCAGAGTACAAGCACTTGCCTCTTTAATGAGGAGTGATTCGGTGTAAAACATTATTTCATTCTTTTAAGTGCTCAAAATAAATTATTTTAAGAGCTTAAGTTGTAGCTTGTTTTCAGAACACCATGTCATAACTGTTCAATCCTCCGGTACTTCCATTATAATTGTATAGACGTCCGTAATACAATTACTTTTAGCTGTATTGCAACTCTACTTCAACTAAACAAGGACATATAAAATGTAAATTTCTTGCGCAAAGTAACTCAACTTCTATGTCATTTGGTCTCAGGTGGAGAATTGTCTCATTGGCAATCATACCACATTTTCTTATTGTTATATAAACTAGCATTCATGAGTTCATTCGGGATTCGAAAACCAACTGCAAGGACTGTTGCTTATTCTTCACTAATATGACGGTGATGTCTCTCGCCATTTGATTTAAATGCCGGGGTTAAACATGTTAAAGGGCCATCAAAATTGCATGCCGCTTGAGACCTTTTTTTTTACAGGCAAGAGCCGTACCAATGTGGCTGACAACTGCAAATTTCTTACATTAATGAATTATTTTAACAGTGTGGGGTTTTTTTTATTCTCTTTTAAATGTTTGATTCAGGACAAGGTGTTCTACTAACCTAGTAGTATCTAAATGGAAGACTACCGCTCAGATTACATGTAATTGAGATTAAACGATTAGGGATGAATAATGTCAAGTTCAGGTTTTAGATTTAATACATGTATATGTATCATAATTATTTTCAAACATTTGTCCTTCACATTATCATTTCTCGTTTCAGTTATTTAACATGTTTAATGGCGTCGTCTACCGGAATAACCTGCAGTGTATGTCAGACGAAAGACACCACATCTGCCGCAAATATGTGGTGCCTTGAATGTTGTAAATCATTCTGTGCAAATTGTAAAGAAGAACACGATAACTCAAATACATCTATAAATCACAAAACAATTCCAGTAGAAGAATATATAAAGTTACCTACCTACCCGATATTAACATTGCATTGTGAAAAACACAATAAAAAATATGAAAAATTTTGTCCAGATCATCAACTTTTGCTCTGTAAAAAATGTATAAAAACAACACATAAAACGTGTAAAGACGTCCTGTCACTCGAAGAAGTCACACATAATACAAAATCGTCCGGTGTTATTGAGCACATGAAGACAAGTATTGATGACATACAGCTTACGTTGCAAAAAATTAAGCAAAGCAGAAATGACAATTTGACAAGTGTACGCACACAGATAAAAGACATTCAAAAAGAGATATCAAGATTTCGATCACAGCTTAACAAAACTTTGGATAAAATGGAAAAAGAGCTAATGAATGAAATGGAAAAGGTTGAAAACAAGACAAAAAGTCATATGGCTATCCTATTTAAAGACCTGCAACAACACGAACACAAAATTGAAGAAATAAAAAGAGGAATTGAAGGACTAGAAAAGTACGGTACAGACTTCCAAACTTTCTTGGCGGGAAATCAGATTGAAAATGTAGTGCATCAAGAAGAAGAATATATGCAATCACTACTTGATAAGAAAAAACTTGAAAACATAATCATTGAGTATAAAGCAAACGGTATTTTAAAATATTTTGTTAGTGACAATGTGGACTTTGGCCATATTTGTGTTGCGACTGTACCATCTGAAGTCCCAGTAATCACGCGAAATATTAGAGAAAGTCAGCTTCCGGTAAGAAGTCATTATTCACAGCTATCTGTAGCACAAAGATTCCTTGTGAAAACAACACAATTAAATACCTGCAATGTTACAGCCGTGTGTCTGTTACCAAATAAAGAAATTATATTCATAGGAAGAATCAGAAGGGGAGTTGATAAAAAGGACATGCATCTTTTATTAGTTCATGATAGTGATGGGTTATTAAAATACTCTTTTCAACTAAAAAATGTAAGCTCTCCTAATGTCATTATACCAGTTGACAATAGAACTGTTATAATTAATGATTATGGTGATTCTGAACAAATAATCTTTATTGACATTTTGAAGAAAAAAACTATCCGAACATTGAACACTGTTGGCTGTTGTATCGGTATTGCAAAATTAAATGATACGATTTTTTGCACTATATATTCAAAAGGATTATACAAAGTTGACTTGATAAATCAGGATTCCATGACCAAGTTTTTTTATACCTATAATATTGGTTTGTCATACGTCGCAACATTCGGTGACAAAATATGTTACACAGACTGCTATACAAATGTGGTCGTCCTTTTAAACTCAGCCTCAAATGTTCTTTGGAAATATCAAGACAAAACATTATTGGACTCTCCTATGAAAGCTGCTTTTGACAAACAAGGTAACATTTACGTCGTTGGCCAGAATACTTATAATGTAGTATTTATTTCACATGACGGAAAACAAAGCAGACAGATGCTTTCGAAAGAAGACGGAATTATGCGCGAGATGAGCATTGACTTCGATTTCAATAGAAATCGTCTTATTGTTGTTTCTCAACTAGGAGATGTTGTTGTTTATAACTGCTCGTAATCTTTTTTTAAAATTAAAAATTTTGAAATTTTATTACAAGATTCAAGTGAGAGAATGAAGTCAATCTGAAGAGTACAATATTTTTTTAATTATTAAAATGCATTGTCAGACATCAAAATGATAACAAAACGTATAAGCTAGTGTTCCTTAAATGTAGATAACTCATATTTGTGAACGACGTTATCCTTTGGTTAAAAAAACATAAGATAGTAATGTCCTGTATGTAAAAACAAGATGTGGTGCGATTGTCGATGATACAACTCTTCATAAGAGACCAAATGACGTATACGATAGCAACTAAAGGCTACTTTTAACAATGAGCAAAACCTATATTATATAGCAAGCTATAAACGGCAACGACATGACAAATGTTAAACAATTCATATTAAAAAACTAATGGCCTGATTTATGAAAAAAAACAATTTACGAAAAAAACAAAGGAGATTTACAGCAACAAACTTTATCCACTGAATTACAGGCTCCTGACAAGTACAGGTACATACAGAATATATCGGGGTTAAACATGTTTAGGGGGCAAAACCCTCCCCTAGCCTGGGCCAGTGTATTTGGAGACTGGAGTAATTATCAGAACAATACATGGTCAATTTGGAAAATTTGCAAGCCATAATTTTGCGTCGAATCTGGAGATATTTTGTTTTAAAACCAATTATAAATAAATACACATTCTAACATATATATATATGCATCATAAACGCCTGCATAAATATAAATAAAAAATCTTTTTTTGAACTTTGAGGATCATTATATAAATAACACATAGCTGAGAGGGTGATAGAGCAGATTGTTACCCCGAAAAAACATTGTCAACTGAGGCGAAGCCAAGGTTGACAATGTCTTTTCGATGGGTAACAATCTGCTCTATCACCCTATCAGATATGTGTTATTTAATTTATTATACTGAATGTTCTGTCTATTAAATTTTAAATTCAAAGTAATAAACTATGTCGTCTTATACATAACAATCATCCGTATTTATTAAAGCGCACACTTGAGCAAGCGTCTCCGTGAAGGGTAATTTAGTATTTGCCGTGAGATAGAGTAAATTGTCTCCCTCGTATTAACCAATCAAAATCTGGCATTTTGACATGAAGTATAATAAATGAAAATATAAAAAAGTAAATTATACAAAGCCATTTATTTTAAATTGTCGAAAAAAAAATCACATATTCTAACTCCATCTATTGTATTCTGTCCTTCCCTGTTTTATACAAATGTTTTAAGATGAAACACTTTTTCTGTTGAAGATGAGGTGTTGGATATACATTTATTTTTATCTTTCAATACCTACTGGTGAATGACAAATTTGTTTGTAAGGTATCTGTTAATGCTATAATACGACAAAACCTAGTATATATAGTCCAATGTTTGTTTGTATATATGGACGTCAATGTTAATCTTGTCTTTTTACCAGATGATGATGATTAATACAGGCTGGTTGTAGTAATCTAATCAACTGTTGCTAAGAAGCTGTAACTGTATTGGAAGTCTGGCGAACAAAACTATAAGCCTGGTATTTTTGATGAGTTTTTTTTATTGATAAATCAAACGCAAAACATCATACTTTTTTTTATACTGTTATAACAAACTCCGCAAAGCTACCAGGCCTGACACTTTATATCAATGACATTTTACAAACACGTCCATGTAAACTTTTGAAAATTCATTAAAGATGTTCGGAAAATACCTAGAGAAATACACGGCATTCGAGTTTAGATAGTAGGACGGCAAAATCAATAAGGAAATCATTGTGCAGGTTCTTACTAATTAGAAATGGCCTTTCGTAACATAAAGGTTTTCGATCTTTTTAGTAATATGATATGTGAACCACTAGGTCAGTACATTAGTAAAAATAAGTTATAATTTCCTTCTTACGAGATCAATGTTATCTACCATTTATATATAACATTTTATAACATGTTTTAAGGTACAGATACCTTTTTCAGTTATATGATATTTGTGTCACTGAGTAACGTTCGCACAAATCAGTTCGCACGTCTTTCATTCAAGATTTGGTATTGTATGACATATCTGTAAGTGCAAACCATTTTCAGCTATGCGATATTTGTTTCACTAGGTAAGTAGGTCACCGTAACTTTGATATCAAATTAAGCAAATTCTGCAAAATTTAAGTAAAAATAACGATGATGCAATAGAGGATAAAAAAAAAGGATACATACCCATTGGTTCGAAAAATAAACCGTATATTTTTTGGAAAAAATGCATAAAAAATGATATTTGCATGCATCACATGATTTTCTTTTTTGTATTTGTTTTTACTTGAATTACATGACTCTTATTTTTAGAGATTGTTCGACCCTACAAAGGCTGTTAATTTTGCCATTAGAAATATTTTCAAAAAGGTCTATTATATTTTTAGTTTTACTCATTTCGTCTAAACCATGATTTGTAATTACTTAATATTTATTCTTTTGAACCTAAGAAATAAATTAAAGGTCAAGGATAATTTTACTTCATATTTATAGTTTTCAACAAATGCATATGACCCCCTTTATTTTTTTGTAAAATTCTAATATTTTAAGCATCCATAGCTATTTCGTTCTAAGTTCAAATAAAGTGACAGGCATTTTATGTAAAAACTATACCTTATACTATACTCCTAGTTTGTGCTTAATTCATACCTTAAATTGCACATAAGAGCGCACTGGTTGACGGGATGTTTGGTCGTAAAAGAGCATGTACTTCTGATCTGAGAAGCAGGCAAAATATTACCTCGGACAAGGATGTATACTAAAACCCAGATTTTAGTTAGTCAAAACTTAAATTTGGTCAGTTTCCAGAAAAAAATACACTGCAATGCATGAAAATATGTCTACAATAATCAAAGTTCCGTGCTTGACATTTCCTCACATTCTCAAAGAGGGACGAAAGATACCAGAGGGACAGTCAAACTCATAGATCGAAAACAAACTGACAACGCCATGGCCAAAAATAAAAAGACAAAGAGACAAACAATAGTACAGATGACACAACATAGAAAACTAAAGACTAAGCAACATGAACCCCACCAAATACTGGGGGTGATCTCAAGTGCTCCGGAAGGGTAAGCAGATCCTGCTCCACATGTGGCATAATAATTACTTCCTAAAATTTTCATATTTCTACAAAGATTTGCTCATTTTGTAAAAATTATCTTCAACTGCCCCCTTGTCTTCTCCCAAAATAAGAAACCGTGTACCATATACATAAGGCCGGTCTCATCATTTGAGAATATGGAATTTTGAAAAACTCTCTTTACAAAGATGTTTTATTATGCGGGTTGATGAATTTAAGGTTAACTGTGGTAAATATTTGACATTATAACTAAACATCACAAGTTCATAAAAAAACACTAGCAATGGAGTCTTTCCATTAATTTCCGTCGACGTTTTTCGTCTTTTCGTTTGTTATCGTCTCTGTTGTCATGTGGAGGTAAGCGGGACTGTAGTACGGATTCCCACCCGGATTAAAACCAAAACCAAAACTACAACACGGGTATTGCGTTCTTCCCCGCTAAGCACATTCATCTTTCAACTGATTTTTTTTAACATCTTCAATGGAAATAAGCAATGATTATAGGTCACAATACGGCTTTCGACAATGAGCAAAACCCGTACCATATAGTAAGCTGTAAAAGGCTCTGGCATGACAAAAAGTAATACAAACGGCCTGATGTATGAAAAATTAATGGAGAATGTGTCCATGGTACACAGATGATGCCCCGCTTGCATATAACGTTATAAAGGGACATAACTCAAGAACGGTAAGAGTGACGCCACCCAAATTCGAACTTGATCTGAGTTTTGTGGTAATAAGCATTGTGTATAAGCTTCATAACATTTGGTTGAGGCAAACTTAAGTTTGAGAACGGAAACGAAAAATTCAGCATGTTTTTCATTGATAAAGATGCATAACTCTAGAACTGTAAAAGTGACGCCACCCAAATGCAAACTGGATATGTGTTTTGTGGTAATAAGCATTGTGTATAAGTTTCATAACATTTGGTTGAGGCAATCTAACGTTAGAAAACGGAAACCAGTTTCGGGAAGTACGGACGTACAGACTGACAAGGGTCACACGTAATGTCCCCTCCGCTTGACTCATTAGATCGACAAGAAGCACAACATGAGGTTACTTTAATCACTGTGTAGGTGGATATATAACTAATATTTTGCTCTTTAACTTTTTTTATTTTCGGGCGTCCCTGATGAGTCATTTGTAAACGAAACACGAAACGGCTGATTTACAAAACTATAAGCTTGGTATCTTGATGTTTTTTTAATTGATACATCAAATGCCAAACTATCCTACTTTGTTTTTATTATACTGGTATAACAAACTCAGCAAAGCTACAAGGCCTATAACTTAATATCAGCAATGTTTTACAAACACGTCCATGCAAACTTTTGATAATGCATTCAAGATGTTCGAAAACTATCCAAATAAATACATGGCACTCGAGTAAAGTAGGACCACAAATGCAAATGGGAAATTTGTTTGCAGGTTCTTACTAACTAAAAATGGTATTTCATAACATTAAGGTGCAATGATCGTTTTAGTAATATTATATGTGTACCACTAGGTCAGTACATTAGTAGAAATAAGCTCTAACGTCCTTCTTATGAGATTAATGTACATATACGTTTTTTCGTTAAATGATATTTGTGTCACTTAGTAACATTCGCACAAATCAGTACGCACGTCTTTCATACGAGATTTGGTATTGTATAACATATCTGTAAGTGCAAACCATTTTCAGCTATGCGATATTTGTTTCACTAGGTAACTAGGTCACCGTAACTTTGATATCAAATTAAGCAAATTCTGCAAAATTGTAAGTTAAAATAACGATGATGCAATAGAGGATAAAGAAAAAGGATACATACCCATTGGTTCGAAAAATAAACCTGCCATTAGATATATTTTCTATATTTTCATTTTAGTTTTACTCATTTCGTCTAAACAATGATTTACAACAATAACTTAATATTTATTCTTTAGAACCTAAGAAATAAATTAAAGGTAAAGGATCATTTTACTTCATAT